TGCTCTTGATTTCTATCAACACTGCACAGCGGATAGAATTGAATTAGTGGTAAGGACCTAGTTGCATGTATAACTCATTCAATAAAGGGTGCAAGTTCTGGGGTCATTATAGCAAACACCTCATCGATAACGATAAGGGGTAGGTCCCTGGAAATGGCTTGCAAAAATGCCAGATGTTCAAGTATTTCTACATTAATTCACAAAAATAAATCATGGAGGGACAAATTTCATATTTATGACTCTGACCCGAACAATAAATTTCGTTGTTATTATTATATATTGCAGCTGTTTATTATTGTGATAGAAGCCTGAATGAGATGTGCCAGTTCATGTTCTTTGCAATTATGCTTATGCAGCATAATAACAAAGATTAAGAGAGGGGAGTTTCATGAAAAACATGATCAATTTGCTCTTAAATATGATCAAATGAAGGTTTAAAAGAAAGCTAACAAAAGGCATTTCTTAAAGCATAGGTGACAGTTTGAATGCAATATGTTTACTCGTTAATGTTCAAAGACAATGATGTGAACCTAATTATACTGCATGATAGAAACCAAATATCTGGAGACAGGCTAAGCCATGGAAATGCAAAATTCTTCATTGTCAACGTTAACTGCCAGCTTTAGTTAGCCAGGAGGTTTTTTAATCTAAAAACAATGCATTGTTTTTCACATTCATAGAAATAATTGAAAAGATGATTGATCTCTATACATTGTTTAGTGCAATGCATTTGGCACCAGAATCAACGTCCTGAGTTAATGAATTTGCATTTAAGACAAAGGATTTTGAAATTTAGATGTTGGACTAATTTCTGCTATTCCAAACAGCCAATTCTAAAACAAAAAAATTGCAATCTTTCATTTTGTTCTGCAACTTACAACTTTCCATATTAAAGATATGGCGGCTCTGTTGAGGGTAAGATATCAGGAATTACCATCATATAATGGTTACGACGTTAAAACAAATTTGTCATGCACTAAAATCTGGGAATATTTTTGCAGACGGACCACGCACGAAATTAAAAGCGTTTGTAATTGATCAAGATATTCTGCTTAAGCCATGTTGATGATATCTTGACCATTTGATATGGCAAAATCAATCAAATATAAGAAAAAAACAAAGACAAATTCAAGGAATACTGAGGAAATGGTAGAGTTTTAAATGAGATATTATGTTTATTCATGTGGTGCTTAAACTGATAGCGACGGAAATCTAATCGCCGCTACACATTGAAAATGGAAACTATGGAATATGTATACAATGTCGGGGATTATAACAATTTTGATATCACTTGTTACGTAAAAAACTTTTAATTAGTCAAGTCAATAAAATCAAAATCAAATAATTAATTAATCACAAGAAATAATATTTTAATGTAGTTCGACATAATAAATCTATATCTATAGATAAAAAAAAGATTTACTAGTTGTAAAGAATTACAAATAAACATCAAATCAAGCACTTAAAATTAATATACATAGGTTCTTTTAATCTCTTTTAATCTTATGAAGTATTCTTAGTACATACTCATATATAGCTATGCACCATACACTCTTTTAACTTCCTCTAATTCATTTACAAATATTTAAACATAAACACTCAATGTAAATCTCTAATAGTTTTATGGATTGTCTATTTTGTAAAACTCTATAACTTTCTTATAATTTTTTTTCTCATACATAATCTTATAAAGACTTCTCTTATTTATAAGTACATAAATTTGCCTATTAAAAATCTTTTTTTTTTTAATTTTTGCAAGTTTTTTTATCTATTAAGCAATATCTAACTAATCTCAAACTTACCTATTAAGAATTCATTTTCTCTTAAATTATTTTTGTAAATTTTTTTATATATCAAGTAATATCTAATCAATCTTAAATAAATTTGTTATGAAATTTGAGTTATTATTTTTAACTTACAATGCAAACACTAGCCACAATTATAAATTACATATCCTGATTGCTTTGTTGGATTTGAGGTTAGGGTCAGCTTCCAAATTAGTTTTCGGTGTGTTATGATAATTATAGCATTAAAATTCCACATGTAATCTAACAACAGCAACACATATTGGTTACAGAGAAATGAAACCCAAAAAGAAAAAATGGCTGATATTTTCTTCTTCTTCGCTCTTCCCCACCTAGCTATTCTCGTTTGTGGTGACCAAAGCTTGTGATCTATTGAAGAAATAGATAAATTCCACCATGTTTTTTTTTTCCAATATGATAGAACCGCAATGGCTGCTGTATTTTGTCTGGTTGCTGCTGACCTCATCAGCTATAACACATGAGAATAGTTTTATGTGGAAGTGGTTGAATAAATCTTTGGCTCAAAAAAGTGAAACCCTAAAATGAAAAATGGAGATTGAATAGTTTAGCAATACGATCTTGATGAACAGAATAATCTATCAGAAACCAATCAAATGTCAATGGAAATAGCAATAACTTTGGACATATTGATATTGGGGTCTGGTCTTCACCATACGTACCATTGAAAGTTGAATGGTACAAGAAAAAGAAACCTCTAAAATTTCATAGCTGCAGAACCGACACAGGGCTCCAAGATCTGGACTAATCAGTTAACACTGTTTGCTAGACCATAACCCCATCAATGTAAAAGACTGAAATACAATAAATATTGTAAATAAATGTGGAAAGAGTGAGACTAAAGACATATTGTTAAGCTGCCGGGGGAGTGGGGGCTGTTTTTCATCAATGTAACAAACAATAATTATAGCTTTAAACAATAAAAGATAGTCAAAGATGACAGAGGGATCTGTTTACTGTTGTCTGAGAAACTTTTATATTGATAAAATTGCTAAAACAGATACAGCAGTGCCTATTAATGAGCTGATGAGTGTGACTTCTCACTGTTTGCGTTTAATGGACAATGGCATCTTCTCCCTTTGTTATATTTGCAGTTAAGAAATTCTGAGATTACTAAAAATTATATGAAGATTATATAAATAATCATATATTTTGAGGTTACTCTGGACTTCTCGGTTATGAAAAAGGTTATGAAAGTTTCTTAGATTCAGTAACTCAATATTAAATCTTATGTTGTTGAATATTCATATTAGTTATTGAAAGTTACACAAAATAATCATATGTTTGAAGGTTGCTGATTTTACATAATGAGGTTATTAGAAAGGAAACAAAGATTATCAAAGAAGTCATAAGAGTATCTTGAATTTCAAAAACCTTAAGCTACCGAATATCCATAAAAGTTACTCACAAGCACCTTTAATATTAAAAAAAAAAAAACTAATTTAGTTTATGTAATATGTTTTGAGATGAGTGACTTAGCATATTAAGTAGATTGGAAAAGTTGATCCGAACTTAGAAAATTCATTTTATTTGAATCAATTCAATTTGAGTAAAAAAAAAAATTCAACAACATAAAATGATTTGAATTTGAATAATTCAAAAAATTAACTTAAATTTAAATTGATTTATCTTAAAAAATTTATGCGAAATCAATAATTCAAGTGTCAATTTTGAAAATATTATAATTTTTTTTACCTCAAATGTTCCAACCCGTCCAATTGCTATCTTTACGTATAATTTATACTACTATAGTTTATACGAAAAGAACCACGGTAAAAGATGTGGTAATTGTGCTCAGCCAACATGTGAGATGGGCTATCCATGGTCATCAACCCATTTGGTATAAATTTCCCATTGAAGAATTATTATAATAGTCTGTCTAGAAGGCCCATCTTGTTTTCAGGTGTTAAGACAAGGCCCACCATTTCTGCCCATTATTTTAAACAATAATCATTTATTTACAAAAGGGTAAAAATGAAAAAAAATATTTTTTGAAGCAGTCATGCGAGAGGTGGTAGTGTTATGGCAAAGACCTTAATTAAATTTTATAGTTATAATATGTGATGAAATTGCATGGTGATCATATTAACATGGTTGAATCAGGGTCACAAGGTGGAGCCGAGTTAGCTAAAAAGGTTAAGATAGATAAAAGAGTTGGGTTGGCTGAAAATACTAAAATGAAGAAAGAAGTTGGTTATGGCAAGAGGATGGAATATTGGAGACAGTGGCACAACAAGGAGCAATAGAAATGAATATGCTGAAGACGGTTATGAAACTGACAGAATAATTGGTTGATTTTTATTATTATATGCTTAATTTTTATTGGATAGATTTTAGAATTATGATGTCAGCATATATATTAAATATAATCACTTTGTACATGCAGTTGAAGAGTACGAATGAAATTTACAATTTTTCTCTATTCTTTCAAACTCTCTTTCTCTATTATGGTATAGTCTCTCATTTTTCTGATTTCTCTTTCTTCAAGTGACTCATTACATAACACGATAATTTATTTATTTAAAAATTATGAGAAAGTGAAGTGAAATGGTACAAAGCAAGATCTAAGATTCCAGGTTACAAATGCAAGATTTTTTTTTATTATGTGGGATAGATTCGAGAATTTTATATATTTGTATTATATAAAATATAAAATATTTGTATATTTATATTATATTTTATATAAATTTTAGGTATTTATATTATATAAATTTTATAATTATAATAATTTATTTATTTAAAAATAATGAAAAAGTGAAAGGGAAAGGACAAAGAGGCAAGATCAGGATTCAAGGTTGCAAATGCAAGATTTACTTTTATTATTATTTGAGGTAGATTTAAAAATTTTATTTATTTGTATCATATAAAATATTAATAATTTATATATTTATTTTATATTTTATTTAAAAACTATATATTATAATTAATATTAATATAAAAATATGAAATATATTTTATATTTTTTTAAAACTCATAATTATTATTAAAAATTTAAATCGTATTTAATTCATATTTTTTATATTATATCAATGTATTATATTTAAATTATCAAAAACTAACATAAAGTTAAAAGTAAAGTTTGTGATGACTTCTTGAGCAGAATATGTGACAAGTAAAATTTCGATTATTAGATACTAGTGGGGTATGAATTTCAATTTATGATTAATGGCACGACAATTTATTAACATTTATCAAATATGAAAATAATCATATTTGAATTATTAGAACAACAGTGGTCGATATGTCCGAGTGGTTAAGGAGACAGACTCGAAATCTGTTGGGCTCTGCCTGCGCAGGTTCGAATCCTGCTGTCGACGGGTTCTTATTTTTATTACCTATTTTTTCCACTTACCACAATCACAATCTAACCCTTTTTGGCTCTCGCAAAAAATCCCTCCATTTTCATGGCTTCCTCCCTTGGCTTCAGTCCCACTTCAGTCCCTTCTCTCTACCCAATTCCCACCCAAAGAAGCTTCACTCCCATACGCTGCGGCCCACGTGACAACCGTGGACCTCTCGTCAAAGGTCGCACCTTAAGCATCGAAGCAATCCAAGCCATCCAATCCCTCAAAAGGGCCCAGCGAAACTCTTCATCATCATCGACAACAACAAATACCCAACTCCCTTCCCTCTCCCGCCTCATCAAATCCGACCTCGTCGCCGCCTTACGCGAACTCCTACGGCAAGATCAATGTGCCCTCGCCCTCCACGTACTCTCCACTGTCCGATCAGAATACCCGCCTCCCGACTTGACTTTGTACGCTGATGTTGTCACCGCGTTGGCCAGAAACCGTCTGGTGGACGAGATCGATGGGTTGATTGGAGAGATGGAAGGGATAGAGTGTGATGACGAGAAGGCCCTTGTGAGGTTGATCAAGGGTGTAGTACGAGCTGGGAGAAAAGAATCAACGGTCAGGATTTATGGGTTCATGAAGGAAAATGCAGTGGGGTCCAGGAAAAGAGTCGGGGAGTATGTGGTTAAAGTTTTGAGTAAAGGATTGAGAAGGTTTGGGGAAGTGGGTTTGGCTTCGGAGGTTGAAAGGGAATTTCGTGAATTATCAAGGGTTAATTTGGACAAATCGAGAATTTAGGGAGAAAAATGGGTTTCTAATGAAAAGTAAATTTTTTTTTCGTATTTGAAATAGCTTAGCTACTTCCATTTTAGTATTTTAACTTTTTTTTGGTCAATAAAAAATTGTAATTTTTCTAACTTTGATTTTTTTTTAGAAATTGTAATAAATTATTAAAAATTTAAAATTTAACTCAATTTATTCATATAATTATTTTTAAAAATATATTTAATAATTTTAAATTTTAATGATTATAATATTTTTAAAATTTTTTCAAACTGATTTTTTTTATATAAAAAATTGCTAAAAAAAAATAAATTTTGGTAAAGAGACGTTTAATGTGTCATTGGTGAAAGTTTTACATGAACTTTTTACCTTATCATCTTCTATTCCTCTTGTTCAACAGTACTAACAATAATATGGGTAAAAAAAGACCAAACTAATTTTGAAAAGCTATAAGTGGTAAATTTTTTAATGTTTTTAGTTTTTATTTAATTTTTAAATTTTTTGTAATCTTATTTATTTTATTAAAAAAAATATTATATACATAAATCTTTTCAAATATCAATTTTAATAATACATCGTCGTATTTAATAAATAATGACTTCAAAATTTTTTTCCTTTGTTCAAGTCAAATGCCTCTAAATATGAGACACGAGACATATAATAAGGTGAGAAATCAATGAGAATCTAAAATAAAATTGTTAATTGTATCTTAAATTAAAACAATATAAAAATATTCTCAATAAGACAAAAATACCCCCTGTTTCTCACAAAATATAGTAACTGCCATCACCCTCAATTTAGTTTTAACTTTTAATAAAAGCTTTACAGGAGAAACTTGCAAGTTGCGCGTTAAGTCGAAGTCTCGAGGCTTTTGGCTTCATTTCCTGAAACAGAGCAGACCCAGAAAAAGGGAAAAAAAATAATAAGAAAAATAAGAAACCCCATCTTCAAGAATTTGACAATAACAAATCTCATCCAACAATTTTGCCCAAAAAAAATCCATATTATAATCTCATCAAATGATTAGTTTTAGAAGCAATCCATCCCCAGCGGCAGCACCACCACAAGAATATGCCTGGGTTACTTCATACCAAAAGCTACTCCCGCACTGGCACTCTGTTTCTCTTTCTCATCAGGCTAACTCTTTTACTCTTTTCTTTTTTCAAAATTTAATTTTAGTTGAACAGAAAAAGAGATTGCCCTTTATTGATTTTGCTTCCATCTGTTCGATTTATGATAATTGCCTAAAAAGACTTTGCCAAAAACATTATGTTTTAGGGTTCCCTGATTGCCCTTTAGAATTCACGGGGAACTTGTTTTTATGGAAATGGTATCTGGAAAATTTCTGGGTAACTTTTTATTTTGTTTTTATGTAAGGAATATGAATTATCAAGGAATAAATTTGCTAAAGCTGAATGGGACTTCATTATGGTAATGAAAAAAGATATGAACTTTTAGTTCTCTAGGTATACATGTGGAAAACTTTTATGGAAAAGTTTTCATCTTTCTGTTTAGTGGCGAATAGATTAAGATTATATACAATGCAAGTTGGGATTTTTCCTGGTTGTTCCAATCCTGCTGTTATTTAACTTTTTTATTTTAGTTTGTTAACTATTTTGGGTAAATTGCTGCAGCATTCCACACTACCGATATCAATAGCTAGAGTTAATCAGTTTGATGCTGCTAGATTGGATATTGAGATGTCAGCCATGTTAAAGGAACAGTTGGTTAAAGTTTTCTCCTTGATGAAGGTATTTTTGCTTTTGAAGGCATTCATAGTGTATAGGAAATGAAATTGCTTTGTGCAATTGTCTGATCTTGTTTCTCTGTTTTCTTGGGGTTAGCCAGGAATGTTATTTCAATATGAACCAGAACTTGATGCTTTCCTTGAGTTTCTCATTTGGAGGTTCTCAATTTGGGTAGATAAGCCTACTCCAGGAAATGGACTTATGAATCTGAGATACAGGGATGAACGTGCCATGGAAACAAGAGGAAAAGGTAAGAAGGTCTGGACTTCTATTGCTACTGTGCTACCCTCAAAACCGGCTTTCAACGGTTTAATTCCTCATATGTTTATCATATAGATGAAGATATATAGGTCTTCAAAAATTTTAATGTTATGTTTTTGGAGTTAGAAGAGTGTCTTGCTCATGCATAAGGATTATTACTGATCCACATTATTTTATAACTGATTTAAACTTAGTATGAATTTCAATGCGTATAGAACGTGAATATCTTTACAGGATGTTTAGTCTTGAATCTGTTTCTTTTACTTCTATTTTAAATGAATTTGATGAATGATATGTCTTAGTTTGCCAACCAAATCATGCTCTGGTACTTTTTTGTTGCCATCCATAACTAGTTGCTTTGTTTATTGTTATTATGTTCTTGACTTTATTAATAGCTGCAATTATGAGTGTTATTTTATCAAAATTTGGTCTATTCTTTTTTGGATTGGTGCATTTTAGAAGATGGATCATTTTACCTTGGTTAACATTGTCTGTTTTGAACCATATTTAGGAGTGTTCATCATAATTCTATGATTCATTTTACCTTGGTTAACATTGTCTTTTCTTAACCCCTTCCCTTCTCTCATGCAGCCTTACCTATGGCCTTAACTTGTGCTGCTTTTATCTTTCTACAGTAAGAACAGGTTTGGAAGGGCCTGGGCTGACTGTTGCTCAGAAGATGTGGTATTGCCTTGCCACAGTTGGTGGTCAGTACATTTGGGCTCGTTTACAATCATTCTCTGCTTTTCGCAGATGGGGTGATTCTGAGCAGGTGCTGGTTTTATATATCCTTTCTTCTTCCACTAGGTTACAGTCAGGCAACTATTTTAACCAATATTGATTTTCCTTTTCTTCTTCAGAGGCCATTGGCACGGCGAGCTTGGGGTTTGATGCAACGTATAGAAGGGCTTTACAAGGCTGCATCATTTGGCAACCTACTTATATTTCTTTACACAGGAAGGTGGGTTTCAGAATTTTTTTCTCATATTGAAGGACATGCTTATTTGAATCTCATTAATATTTTAGGAAAATAAACACACACAGAAGGACGGAAGCACTGATAACAAGCATGCTATTTAACTTGATATATTTCATCTTGAGTTTTCCATTTCTCATCTTCACTGTATGAAACTGATCTGTTTGCCTGGTAGTTGGGTTGATACATATTACTTTATTCTATCAAACATGAAAGCTTGATGGTTAGGGAATTTTAGCTGGTTTGAAAAACCTTGTTATTCTATGATCACCTTTCAGCAGTGTTGATCCAATTTCATCTTTTGTTCTAATGCAGGTATAGAAACCTCATTGAAAGAGCTTTAAGAGCAAGACTTGTCTATGAAAGCCCTAATATGAATCGAGCTGTTAGTTTTGAGTACATGAATCGCCAATTGGTGTGGAATGAGTTCTCGGTAAGCTTTTCTTATTTAAGCCAGCATCTTGATTCTTGTGTATATGAATGCTTGATTTGAAGATTTTCTCGTCCTCTTACTTTGGGAATGAGCATTAGTAGTTGTGTGTGTGATAGTCTCTACTAGACAAAAAGAAACTAGTGATGTGCATATGGTGGAGAAATTTACAAAAAATGTATTTGTCAGCTGTTAAAATTTCGTGTTTGGTAATATATTCATGAAAACCTCACCATCAATGACTAAGTAGGGATGGGAGTTTCTATTGCAAGTAAATGAGCATACATATTGAGTTCACATAGTCTCACAAACAAAAGAAGGAAATATCTTTTAGGATTACAATCTATATGCCGGAAGTCAGGTTCAAAAACTTCACAAGGAAGGTTATACACCGACCATGTATCCATTTAACTGTGAATAAGTAAGTTAATACTCAATTTTGAAGTCAACAAATTTGGTATTGATATGTAGAAAGCATAGAGTTTGCTCATGGAGTTTTTAAACTCAACTGCCTGTACATATAGGATAATAACCCGATGTACAGAGAAAAAATGGGATAATAACCCAATTGTTTACTTTTGAGTCATACAATAATGGCTCTTGATATGACAGGTCCTTTTATCTGTTCTGTGTCAACATAACTAATCAGAGTTGGCGTGTTGTTAGCATTATAACATTGAAAAGTTTTCTCATCTCTTTGCCACTGGTCAGATTGATATATACTACCAGGAGCCTTATTTTTTTCTTAGATTAATGTCTTTTAATACTTATATTTCCTTTGCTATTACGCAGGAGATGCTGTTGCTGCTTCTCCCTCTTCTTAACTCGTCAACTGTTAAAAGTTTTCTTCACCCATTCTCAAAGGACAAATCTTCAAGTTCTACAGAGGATGACTCTACTTGTCCCATTTGCCGGGCAAGTCCAACACTTGCTTATCTTGCTCTCCCTTGTCAGCACAGGTAGGTTAACTTAAAAACACTTAAATTTGTGCCCACTTTTCACATGTTGTCTGAAATTTATGGGGCCTAATTTTCAAAAGAGACAAGGCCCATATTGCCCTACACTGTGAATGATTGGCTTGAATATGTTTAATGAATTTGGGCTGACAAAAAGACTGACACGTACATGTTGTCTCCATGTATCTTCTTCTTAATTCATTGAATGCTACCCTTAACAGCTGTTCCCATGAAATGCATTTGCACAGCTCCAGTGCTCAACAGTGTTTAAGAATAATTTTCAAGTCTTGCTTGCATATAATTGGTTACAATTTCCTATTCACAGGTATTGCTACTACTGCCTTAGAACACGATGTGCTGCGACTCCCTCATTTCAGTGTTCCAGATGCAATGAGCCTGTAGTGGCGATGCAGCGACATGGCACTGTTGTTGAGCATAAAACTCATAGTCATTAGTCAGTAACTTTCATAGGAGAAGGAAAAAAGAAAAAGAAATCTCTATAACAAAAATGCATGATGTGGCATACAAATATTTTGGGAGAACGAAACCTTTTGTTTTTAATGCAATTGGATGGGGGAATTAATCATTCTTTGTCAACTGTCACGTTAATAACGAGGGTTATTCTTTCAACTCGTGAAAGAGAGATTCTTTGGAAACCTGTTTAAATCTTTGTCTAGTAATGTGACTGTTTCTTTGAAGCTGGAATTTCTGACTCACAACTTATATATTCTCATCTTATTTTTTATCTTCAACCCGTTCATTGATGAACAGACGAAAACGCAAGAGTAAGAGGAGAAAGTAAACTTTGAAAACAAAAGCAACATTGTCCTTCGCTAAAATGGACAAATGGGAATATATGTAATTATGTATGCTTTTAATAACTCAAATCCTGAACAAAAGTAGGTCCCTGTACGTAGAGGATAGAGCCAGCCCAGGACCTCTCAAGGTAGAGGCAGCTGCCCTTGAACCAAAGGGAAAGGCTCACAAGTCACAAGCATAACAGGGCCCGGATTTATTGGCAATGGTGTAGGTCAGGGAACACTTTGGTCGTATGCTTTCATGGAATCGTATTCAACTAGCTTAATTCCTACTACACGGATTGCGGCAGCAATGTGTTCCACATTTTTTCTTTTTGGTTTAAAATTTTACAACTAACTTTGTAACAAATGAAATATTTTATTTTTAGTAATATGGTCAAAGTGTCTTCGCGGAAGATTTTAATGTCACACTTATTATAGCATTCAGAAATTTACTCTCGGAATGCTTCCAAAAAAAATATGTTTTAACTCCCAACTGAAGTAACTTATTTGGCTAACAAAATGGAATGCTTTTGTGCACAATGTGTTTAATCTTTATCCAAAGCATAAATCCATGGTTCTTTTATCCAAATGGACAAAGTAGTTGTTGGTATCCACGCAAGACAGAGCTCTATTATATGCATCTGATGGTTGGGTTTTCGCTGTCTTTCCTTTCTTTTGTGTCTATTATACTTTGATTCAACAAGTTTTGACTCTAATCACAATTCAAGCCCACCACAGTTCTGAAATTGACATTTCCATCATTTCATTAAAAATATCAGTAACAGAACAACACACAACGGAGGAAAAACCTTCTAATACTATTTCTTTTTACAATATCTAAAGATAATGCCTTGAATAAAATTAAAAAAGAAAAAAAAATAGAATTTAAGGAGAATAACTTAGAAACTAGTTGCATTTATCAGGAATGAAACAGCTGAACATGTTTTTCAGACAAGCTACCATGAATTGGACAAACAGAGCCGTAGTTGTACATTAAAGGCCCCAAGATAGCATTATTTTGCCTAAGTAACGAGGTGTAATATAGAGAAGTAGGTGGTCAAATCTGTTTTTCAATCTAGACAAAAACAATCATCCTAGCTTCACACCAAAAGGACCATAAGTTCATAATCAAATTTTGTCCTTTAATTCCTTATTTCATGTGCAATTTTGTCCAATTCTAATCACTCATAACCTACCTATATACTTCTAGTCAACTATTGTATATGTTTTCTTTTTAAACTTCAAAATACAAAATTATATGTTCTTATTTGATTTCCCTCGAGTCAAAATGATGCTCAAATGCAAGCATCCCTTTCACCAAAGTCATCATAACACATATTTTGCTATATTTTTCGAAGGAGAAATTTCCAAATTTTTGTAAGATTTGGGTGTAAAACCTTAAATATTCTGTAAAATAAAATCATGCATATCCATCCTAAAAGATGAAGACATGTAACTGTTTAAGCCAACGTTCACACGTTTGATTTTCAAATATATATATGGATAAAGGTAATCTTTTTTTTTTCTTCAAAATTAAAAAAAAAAAGATATGATTAGAATCTATCTCCTACAGCCAGTCTGCATGTTTAACTGCAATATTGTTCTTTAACTAACTGTACGATTTGAAATTTAGGAGCAGCATTTAGACCATAAAAGCAAAAAAATACAGTTGAATTTAGATTTTAATTTAATTATTTATATAATTATTTTTAAAAAATAATATTTAATAAATTTAACAAACTAAAATTTTAATATTTATAACCTCTTTTCAAATTTACTGTGGTTCTTTTTGTAAAAAAAAAAAAATGTTTCTTTTGCCAGCTACAGCATGCATGCCTGGTGCCTCACGGTTTAGGTTTGCTAGGGTTAAGCCTATTTGTTATGAATAATTAGGTTTGAATTGGCGGGCCACCTAGATATTGGATCAGTCCTGAAATATCTGTCACGTACAGTTTAAAGCATTGCAAATGTTGTCTTTAGTCAAAAGATTGTCAGTTTGCCTATACATTGTTTTCCCCTTTCACTAGCTACTGTATCCATCTAAAATCAACTGAAGCCAAAATGCCTTCCTTTCCTCTCTCTATAAAAGATGTTTACGGTCTAAAACATTTATCAAACAATCAAATCGATTGCTCTTCTGTTTCTGCTTTTACTATGCCTCAAAGGGCTCACTTCCAATTTGAAATTAGGAATTGCTTTGTTTCCCTTTTGATTTGATATTCTCATTAAAAGTGATTATAGGAAAAAAAACAAACTTTTTTCTTCTAAAATTCAAAGGCTATATATATATATATAAATTAGTTAATATTTAATTTAATAAAAAATCATTAATTAAAGATAAAATAGTTATTTTAAGAATAATTAAGGGTGTATATATATATATATATATATACACCCATAAAAGATAGGCTTCCTTTTTGGTATATGATCATAAAAAAGATGAATCAAGTATATGGTAAAACTATTAAGATTTCGACAAATTTTAATCATTTTGATCCCTTCCTTCACATAAGCAATATTGTTGAAATCTAATTTATAGTATATTTAAAATATTATTATTATTATTATTATTGGACGATGAAGTTTTTTTATTCTACAAAACGACTTTATAAAATATTGTCATTTGTGAAAGTTCAATATATTAGATGGTAATCCTTAGAAAAAATGAGAAAACTTAAATGTTGAAAATGTGTTGTTTAATTGATACTTAACAAATACCACAGATAGCTAGAATGATCTATGTATTATCCCCCCACTTTCATTTGGAAGCATATGTATAAAGTGCAACCCCGCCGCCCTAAATAAAATAAGAGAAACACAATGCAATTACTGGTTTGACGGTCCAAAAATAATTTTCTCCAAAATTGTATTTTGGTATTATGTTTGGTATGAATATTAAAGTGTTTAATTTTGTATGGTGAGTTGAATTAATAAATGCACAAGAATAGAGAAAGCATGATAATATCAAATTATGAAAACCATATGCCCTAACCCTAATGACCCCAAAATTAAAACAATCCCAAGTAGTACCCCAAATCAAGGAAGTAAGGTCCTAGAGGCCAATAGTTTAAGGACTGAAAACACAGCCCACCAGCTTTTCTGTCCCCACTTTATAATAAAGCAAAAGCAAAGAATAAAAAAGAAAATACTAAATAAATGAGAGAAAAATGGAAAGGGAGGAAACAAATGCAAAGTGCCTCAACCCCACCCTTGGTATGAAAATTCTTTCAATGCCATAGACTCAAAGTTTATTCACTCTCATCTGAGAAAGCAAACAGGATAGGTGGGGGGACTCTTACTAAAGCTTTTAGCAAAGGCCTGTTTGGTTGGGTGCATAAACAAGGAAAGTGAAAGGGAAAAAGGAAAGGAAAGCTAGGAAGAGAAAGATTTTTTTTTCTTTCTTGTGTGTTGTGTGGGGAACTTCTTTTTTTTCAAGGATAAAGAGGCATATGAAACTGAACTAAGTTTGTTTTTTGCAGCTACCAAGCTCATTCATCACAGCAAGCAACAAATGATGGCAGGAAACCCTAGCTGGTGGAGCATGCATTTGCATCCACCTTCTCCATCCCCATCTCTCTTCCCTCCTCCATATGCTCTTGGATCTTCTACTCTTCCCCCTAATTCTTTGCCTGATAACCAAGAGCTTCCTCAGTCATGGAGCCAACTACTTTTGTGAGCTTTCTCGACTTCGTCTCTACTTGTTCATGCAAGTTTCTGCTCTCTTTAACCTGCTTTCTTGGGCTTCATCGTGATCAATAAATCTTACTTCTTGGGTCTTTATTATTGTTTCTTTTGGTTATCTTAAGATGGCTTTTCTTGTAAATAAATTCTAATGCAATACACTAATAATTATGGTTATGGGGATCTTATTATTTGGTGGTTAGGGGTGGATTATCTGGCGAAGAAGAAAGGTTTGGTCCAAGTCATCATTTTCAGCCTAAAAAGTTGGAAAATTGGGAAAACCAAATCCTAAACCCATCTGCGAGGGTTCCAGTTGTTGACGTAAAGCAAGAGGTTACTCAAAATAGCAACTTGTACGGTCATGGTGATGATGAATTTCAAGCATCTAGGCCTGCTTCTGCTGCTTGGTCTCAAATCATGCCAATTTCTTCTCCTAGGTCTTGTATTACTAGTTTAAGTAGTAATATGTTAGACTTCTCTTTTAACAAAGCGACAGATCATGGGTCTAACACTCAACCAGTAGATCATTCTTCTGAGGTAAGAAAGAGAAAAACTGACAACCCTTCCCCCATCCCCACACCCTTATCTTTTTTTTTTTGCCTCGCATTTATTTGGGTCAATCTATCTGTCTAAATGTACAGTACAGACACAGGTTGTTTTCTTTCATTTTCTCTGGGTTTTCTCACTTTTCTTCTTGTGTTTTTTAGCAGTGTAATAGCACAGCCACAGGTGGGGTGTGCAAGAAGGCTAGGGTTCAGCCGTCTTCAAGCCAGCCACCTCTAAAAGTAACACTGCAGAATCTTTCTTTCTCTTTCTCTTTAATTCTGTGTGCTTGTGCATTTGTGTCTGTGTAGAATATTAGTGTGTCGTTCTTGATTGTCTATTTTCAACAATGTCTTATTCTTTTCAACTATTATTAGCTAACCGTTTTATCAAAACAAATGGCAAAAAAAAAAAAAAAAAGCTAAAGAAATTTTTAAAAATAATTATTAATTGGTGTGCTAATTTTTCTGCATTATGTATTTATGCCAAATCCAGGTGAGAAAAGAGAAGCTAGGAGATAGAATAACAGCACTTCACCAGTTAGTTTCCCCTTTTGGAAAGGTAAACAAAAAATTCTCTCAACTTCTTCATCACCTACCCACAAAAACTGAACACAAGGAATAGTAGTACAGATTACAGAAGCAGTTTTATTTTATGATAAAACCCATAAAGAGATTATTTAATTATGTATTTTATACGTACTGTGTGCAGTGCAGTGATCAAGGTGTTGAAGGCTTTCCCTCTTATTCTTTTTTTCTTTATCTTTTTTCATTCTGGCATTTTCTCTTTTAACATTAAAGAAGATCTGAAAGATGACTTGGGGGTTTGTGCTGTGTTTGTGTGCTCTTTTGCAGACTGACACTGCTTCTGTCTTGTTAGAAGCTATCGGGTATATCAGATTCCTTCAGGGTCAAATTGAGGTGATGTTTCTTCCACACCCATTTTTATACTCTCTGCTGCATGCTAGCAGCTCAGAAATCAGTGAGAAGCAAGCAAGCATGTAGTTTAAAGTTTCAATAATTCACATATACTTTTTCTCTTTTAACAATATCATCTTTAGTTATGGAAGTCATAAAAAAAATAAAAAATTTATTCTTTTTTCCCCACTTTAAACGCAGGCTCTTAGCTCCCCTTACTTGGGTACTGCATCCTCAAACATGAGAAACCAACAATCTGTAAGTACCCATACGTATCCATATACTCATTTCCCAATGCAACATCAATATTGAATATATATGGTACATGGAGCAGTATAATTATATGTGGTTAATTGCAAATATTATGATAGAATTAATTGATGGGTTATTTTGATTAAATTTGTTTAGGTTCATGGAGAAAGGAATTGTGCATTTCCTGAAGAGCAAGGGCAGGTATACTTTATTGGATCAATCAACTCTCAAAAGCAAAGTAGGGGGGGGGGGGGAGCTGGGTTTGTAGATTGGATGGGAAAGCATCTGTTTTTAGTTCCTATTTTATTCATAAAGGAAAGCATTGAAAGAACAAGGTTCTCAGCTTTAAAACACTTTTATGTGAACAAAAGTTGATCAAAAGCATAAGTTGGAAATGCAAAAGATTAGTATATGTAATTTAAAAAGAAAAATGGAAAAAGGGTTGAAGATAGAAATTATGACACACACCTCTCTCTTTCTCACTCATTTGACTAATTGTCCATTTATACAGTAATTATTTATCATCATCATCATTATCCTCCTCATCATGATTATTGCTATTATTATAACTTTATTTTGAAAAAAAATGAAGAGTTCCCTTTTAAAGACCACCAATGTTATCCATTCACATAGATCTATACATACAAATGAGATGTGAAAATCATTGCCTTAATACTGTTTTTCTTTCCTTTTTCCTTAATTTATATTTTTTATAATAACAGGATAACCAAGATGAGCCAAAGGACTTAAGGAGTAGAGGGCTTTGCTTGGTTCCTGTATCTTGCACCCAACAAGTTGGAAGTGACAATAGCGCCGATTACTGGGCTCCGGCTTTTGGCGGCGGTGGGTTTTAAGGACGCAATTAAGGGTTTGATTGCAGCATCATATGCTCTGCTAGGCTAAAGCTTTCAATGGGATGGAATGGAATGAGATAACATCATGAGCAGTCACTCTGCTGAAAATATTAAGGCTGATTGCTCATGATGCTATTGCATTATTTTTTCTAGCTCCACTATATCAAAATGGCTATATTAATTGTTCTTAATTGTACCTTTCTTTTTCATTAATGTAGGATAGCTTGTATTTTAATTTAGTTTTCTTTTGAGCTATGACATATAGAGCTTCATTATATAAGAAGTTCACTTCTATTTTTGTTCGTCTCAAAAAAAAAAAAAAAAAAACTTGTTGGTAAAGCACCATTTCTTTGTCTTCTTTCATTGTTGAAGAAAGAATCCTCACTCTCTCAAATGTACTCATAGCTTCTCCCCTTTGCTTTTCTTTGAAACCTTTTTCATTGTTATTGTTTTTTGAAGGATCGATTTTTGCAAGCTTAAAAAGGATCTTTCAACTATCTTGAAAAAGAATAAACAATACCCTTTAGAGAGATAAGGCTAATGAAAATGTATTATATACATAACCCAAAATTAAACACGTTCATCGTATACTATATTTTGCACATGCATGGAAAAGAGTTAAATTTCATAATTTTCATAATAAGGCATGCAAGAAAAAAAAATTGCTTCTCTGTTCACCAAAAATCATATACAAGTATTTGATTTTAATAGTGTATTGTGCATCAAGGAAGAAACGGAAGCTAAAAGAAACAAAAAAGGGTCCAAATAATTATAGCTTATGGTGTTTTAACTAGTTGCATTGTCTTAATTTTGTTCAAAACACCAAGTGTGTGTGTGTGTGTGTCTATATATATATTGGTGTATTATCGTTTAGTGACGTTGGAAACATTTGTAAATATTGGAGTATCAGAAAAGGTGATTTGACCCGTTGGTAATCGACCCTTAATTTGTTGCTAGGTCAACAAGTTTCAGCTTCAAATTCAAGTTAGAGGGAAAATAAGAGAAAATTAAGGATGAAAAATATTTTATTCTAATATAATAAATTAGGTTTCATATTGATGATAATAAGAAATCACAACGTTTCCTCAAATTTCTCGTTAATGATTAAAAAAAAAAAGATTTAAATCATTACTGTCTAAAATATAATTTGTACATGATCAATGCTGTTATAGAAGTTATCAATTTCGATATATACATCAGTAATCTCTTATTACAATTTTGTAACACTGCCATGAGATTCATATATTATTAATTTGATGCATATATACTGCCCTTTGCATACTCAAATTAATGTGATATACACCAAGATCTATATCTTTGGTATATAAATAATTTTTCTTTATTTTTTATTTTATAATTTTTCTTTAATTGCTTGCAAATTTAAGAAAAAACAATGCATGCAATCATATAACAAAATTTAATCAATTGAATTATTTATTTATGTTTTGGTTTAATATTAACCAGTCTATATAAGAAGGGGAACACTCCTTAAAAAAAAATACACTCCATAAAGAGTGTATATATATATATATATGTATATCATTTCCCATATAATAGTTAAGGATAATCTTTTTTTTTTCTTTTGTAACATATATATGTATATCCAAAATCAAAACAGTTAAGAAAGTGTGTATTTTCAAATATGAATCAAAATTGAATGGGAAAGTAATGCTGAGAATGAAATGATGGTGATGAAAATGAAAACCAAAGTAAATATCCCTTCAACATTGGACATTGGTGTGGCCCCTTTGACAAACTTTAAATAACTTTACAACTGACAATAATGAGGCATTTGACAATGAGAGTACAATCCATGTGTACCATTCATGTTATAGCTTCTTTCTTTTTTTTTTTTTCTTTTTCTATTCTCCCTTTTCATAATGTTCTCGGTTTAAGGCATCTTTAGTTCGATGACTGTATTATCATTATCATTATTATATATACCTTAAATATAACCCTAGTAGTTGATATTTTAAAAAACATTTGAACATTAAACTCAATTATTAGTGGATGAATCCTTCCTGATTGAAGAATTGGATTCAAATCTCCAATCTCGTATAGTTTAAAAAAAAAAAAAAACACTGAAAAAAGTGAATGAATCATATAAAGAAATACATAGTAAGTATCTACATTATAATGTAAATTATTAAGGCTCCATTTAGTTGATATTTTTATTGTTAAATAAAATAATAAATTGAAAATAAAAGATAAAAAAAAGGAAAAAATAAGAGTATCAACTAAACGAAATCTAAATGTATGAAAAAATTAATTTATCTTCAAATGATTGATTAATTATATAATTAAAGGAGGAGCGCATTATGTATATGGTTTGAATTATATTTAGATAACATGAATGAATTATTTTTGTGTAAGAAAAAAGTAAACAAAAAGTTTGAAATTTTGTATATATTTTTTTTATTTGGGTTGGAAGGGGAACTTTGCATGAGTACTCATTATAGCAATTCATATTGGTTTCTTAGCCATATCTAACTGGAAAGATTGAAATATGAACAAGTTGTGGCAATGGCAAAGGCAATGGAATGGCTCATGGACGTGGTCACGGCTTGGTGTGGCAATGGCAGTGCCAGACCACTCATGTGGTGAAGCTGACCCAAATACGCCAACATGGACCCCATGGCTTTCGGGTCTTTCTAGACCACTTTTTTATATTAAACTCAATCAAGTGTGACCGTGGGCCCCGCCTCTCCTCTCCCACTGGTGCTGCCCTCGTAATCCTGACGTTATTTCTTGCGTCACCACCACTAAATGTTGCCACCGTTAGAAAATAATTTTAACTATTGAAATAAAATATCTAAAATTTTATTTATAAAAAACAATTTTCAATTTTATTAACGAACCACACACGATTATCACGATTCGAATAATAATATGATGTAGTATAAAAGCATTTGTTGATCTTTTGAGCCTATCTTTTATTTTTATTTTTTTTGTTGTCTTTATTAATCAATACAAAAACTCTAAAACTCCTTAAAAAAACACTTTTATTTAAGATGTAATTAATAATTAACTCAAACCATTGGATAAATTATTATGGGCTACTATAATTTTGAGATAATAGCTATACGACCAATACGATTGCCCGAAAGATACAGAAAAAAAAATCTGTATCATCATGAAAAACATTGATAATTCATATCAGTTAATTGTTTTTATTGAAAATTTTTATGGTACTCGGATGCAAATTTTTTTACTTTTATTTATGATTATTTATTTATGAATGGGAAACTTTTATTTTCTAGTTCATTTCTTTTTTATGCAAAATAAGTGTGCGGTTTGAATTCAATACTTAATTTAATTGATTTATAAAATTATTTTTTAGAGATGTTATTTAATGAATTTGAGATTTCATATCCTAATATCTTTAATCACTACTTCTATTTTTATGTTACGTCGTCTTTTTTATATAAAAAAATTAATTTCATAAATAATTTTTTAATTATAGTGAATTATTTAATATAATATTTTAATGTGATATTAAAAATATAAATTTTTTAATTAATATAGTATTTAAAAAATTATTTGTTCATCACATTTTATCATTTAAAATTAATCACATTAGAGATAAATATCACATTAATTAATATATTTATAATTCTAGTAACATATTAAAAGTTTTAAAATTCAAATATTATATTAAATATTTTATTATAATTTAAAATTCATTCGTGATATATATATTCTTTTAAAAGTGCACCATTTATGACATTAATATGAGAGAGTATTAGCTAAATTTGAGTTTTTGATTTTTTTATGAAATAAAATTGAGATTTTAGTCTATTTAATTATCTTTTATATTATTTTTTATCTTCTGTGTACATTTGCACTTCACCACCAACTAAATCATACGTGAATCCCACTAATTAATTTTGTGACGCAAAATCAATTTCAAAAGTTTCAAAAGACCTTTGTGAATATGATTATAAGTTTGCAAGTGAAACTTAAAAAATAATATAAAAGAGAATGTGAAATATATTAGCACTTAAGTGTCATTTTATAATTGAATTCTTTAATAGTTTATCAAAACACTATTCACAATGCAGTGAAATCTCTCATTCTATGAATTCACATTTTTCTTTCTTAACATGTCGTACTATTTTAATTAATAAATGTGATTAAGGTTGAAGCTAATAGTATTATTATTTTGTTGGACTAAAAGTTTTTAATTCAATCAGCGGAAGCAAAATCAAAATCAAATAATAAATCAAACACATAAAAGACAATAATTTAATATGATTTGATTCAATTGACCTACATTCACAGATGAGAAATAAGATTCACTAGTTGTAAAAAATTATAAACTTACATCAAATCATCAACCTCACTCAACAATCAATACTCATAAGACACTCTTAATCTTTTTTAGTCCTATGAAATATTCTTAACCCAAACAAACCTAAACTCAAACCCTTGTGCACCATTTTCAATATAATCAAACACATACTCATATGTTTCCATACATTATACCTATGTGGACCATCTCAATCTTTTCTAGTCCACTCACAAACAAACATACACACTCATAAGACGTAGAGTCCCAATACTTTTATGAGGTGTCTATCTTATAAAACTCTATAATCATCTTACATCTTTTTCTCATATCTAACCCTATAGAGATTTTACATATTTATAACCATATAAACTTACCTATTAAAAATCTCTCTCCTCTTAGAATTATTCTCCTGTAAGTTAAACTTGCTTATTAAAAATCTTTTTTCTTTTAGAATTCTTCTCTTGCATATCAAACTTACCTATTAAGAATCTTCTTTATCTTAAAATTTTTTTTTTACAAATCTTTTTATCCATCAAGTAATATCTAATAAATTTCTTATAAAATTTGAATCATTATTTTCAACAACTTTATACACAATTACAGAAAGCCGGTTTACGTATTTGAAATGCATCCTCTAAACAAATGACTGAGCTGAATGCATTTTTCGTATGAAAAAAAAAACAAAAAAAAAAAGTGAACATTGGGCTAAGATTGAAAGAGACAACAGTAGTGGAAACCAATGAAAAAACGTAGTAAAAGAGGGCCTTGAATCTATTCCCTTGTCCGGCCCATAAAGAAAACGTTTGACCATTTATCTTTTCTCTTTCTGTCTATCTGTCTAAACTACTGTTCGAACGTCAGACTGAGTTTGATGTCCGAGGCAACTGATGCTTCCATTGCCAGACCACACGGTTGCAAAATAATCTAAGCTTTTCGAAGAGAAAGCATGGCAGACAAATGGAAGCACACGGCTCTCCTAGTAATTGACATGCAGGTAATTTCATCTTTCTTCGTACCCTTTTTATGCAAATTATATGTACCATGACATATGAATGATTGAGTTTTATTTTTTCTTCATTTTGGAAACTTTGGGTATTGGAATTTTTTTGCAGAATGATTTTGTTTTAGAAGATGGATTGATGAGAGTGAATGGAGGCAAAGCCATAGTCCCTAATGTCATCAGGACTGTTGAAATCGCCAGGCAGCGTGGCATTCTCGTCGTCTGGGTAAAATTTTCTCTGCCTTTTTACTTCTTTAAGTTTTTTCCAGGGAAACTCTTATAGACCAAGCTAATTGAAGAGGTGATCAATCTTTAAAAATTTGATAAGTGAAGCTTTTTGTTTTCCAGCCCTGGAAACTACTACTGAGAAATGTAGGGAGAAGTTTGGAACTATTTCCTATTTTTTGGAAATAGAAAAAGTGATTTAATTAACCTGTCACTACTAGCTACCTATAACAGGACTAAAGTTCCTTATGTAGACTAATTCAGAGATGAAATTGGCATTTTCAAATTTGGTGTTGGTGGTTTAGTTGGAGATGATATTGACGAAGTGCTTGTTCAGTTGGTTGTAAATTGCAGATGATTGTGAAATGCTTTTGGGTTTTAGGTTGTTCGTGAACATGACTATTTAGGAAGAGATGTTGAACTCTTTCGCCGGCACTTGTACTCTCGTGATAAGGGGGGTCCAACCACTAAGGGAAGCTTTGGTGCAGAACTAGTGGATGGCCTTGTGATAAAAGAAGGAGATTACAAGTTGGTGAAGACTCGTTTTAGTGCATTCTTTGCTACCCATCTTCATTGTTTTCTTCAGAGTAATGGTGTCACTAATTTAGTGGTTGTTGGTAAGGAGACTCCATACCAATTGAATTTTAAGTGATTTTTTGAGAGGTATCTGTTGCTTTATGCCATGTAGCATTAAGTTTTTGAGTTGTTGTTGGTTGTGCATTAACGTTTCAGTGTTTTCTTGAATCTGTATGCTAGGTGTTCAAACTCCAAATTGCATCAGACAGACTGTCTTTGATGCAGTAGCACATAATTACCAATCTGTTACTGTTATTGTTGATGCCACAGCTGCTGCTACACCTGATGTACACGATGGTATGCAGTTCTTAACCACTTGGATCTTAATTGCATTGTTGTTTGAAAGTTACTATGTCATACTTCAAAATTTGATTTCTGCCTATCTAAAAGATTAATTCATACAGCATTTTAATGTTTATTTTCTCATGCATATGGTCTGGTTTGCTAACTTTGTGCCACTGGCAAATATGTAGGTGCCCGCATGCCATTTTCTTTGTTTTCCACATAATTTCAACTCGCATTATCTTCATCCTAGTCATATAGATATAGATTAAGACAACAAATTTCATACTTCATAAAATTGTTTATGTGGAGATTATGCTGTGTCAAATGGGGAAATTCCAGGTTTATGAAATTAAAAAGGTTAAGTTGATTGTACCATTTGCTTTATTTCCTATAGAATATATGCCAATGATATATTTTCTTAAACTTATCAACTTCTACAGAGGTAGTAATGTAAAAGAGTAGAGATGAGCAGGTGGTAGGCTATCTAGGAGACTATTCAAATGCATGTATGTAAGAAGCAGGCATATAGTTAAATGAGGACATGAATGTACTTATATGTGCAATTAGTGGATCAACAAGGTAAGAGTTGCTGATTCATTCTGAAAGCCTTGTTTCAGGGTTGCAAGAGATCAGAGCTTTAAGCTAAGGTCCTTCCTTGAGTTGTTGGAAGTAATTCAAAACATAAAATACGAGCACAGTTTGTGACTTTGGAAGTAGCCGTTGAATACTGGTGAGAGTCAGCTAACTTGCTAAACATAATTCATAAAGGACTATATAAAAATTTGGGTAGAAGGGGCAGGCTACAATTCTTTGTCATGTCAAAACCAAAGAGTTATAAGCATCTGGTGACATGGGCATAATTATCATGAATATGAAGCTGATTCAAAAGATTTTTGAGTGAGGAAACATTGCACTTTCCTTCTGAGAAAAAGAATGTTGATAGACAAACTTGCGATTTTTTTTAATCCTCATCTTTCCCCTTGCCCGAAAACTTTAACAGACAAATTCTCTTTCCTATTTATCTAGTTTTTATCCTAAATGCCATCATTGATATATGAAAAGAATTTACTTGCCTCAATATTTTTACTTTCATCTTTGAGAGAAACAACCAAATACACGTTACTTCTTTCTGCAAATTCGGCATTTTTACTGATACAGAGCCTTAAATTATGTGAACCAGCCAATATCTTTGACATGAAAAATGTTGGAGTTGCAACACCAACACTACAGGAGTGGTGTGAAACCAATGCTTGATCCATCAAATGATCGAACTGGAATGGATTCTACCCTGACCTGGTTGAGACTATTCTCTTCTACATTAGAGTACCATATGCACCCTGCAGCCTCGCAGTATTCAACTTGCCTTTCCATCATCCCATATGTGGAACGTGGAGTACTATGATATAAAGCTGTTTGTCTTTCACCATGTGTATGTTTTATTTAATTGATAATCATTACTGTTCTTATTTCCATGCTATTATAAGAATAAAGAAGAATGAGTCCAGCTATATCAAGCCTTCTTAGTTTATTTAACTGTTCCCATTCAGGCAGTGTAAAACAGATAGTGACAGAATGCCATAACCATACGTACTTCATCAATGGAAATGTAAATATAGTGTAAAAATCTGTCAGCTGAAGCCCGAAAACATAATAAGCATAAACTTGCATCATAGAAAAATGAACTAAGTTTGGGCCCTAACTTGGATCATATGCATAAACGTATGAAGATTGTATAGTTTTCTCCATTTTTTTTTTTTTTTTTCACTGAAGAGAGCTCAAATCCCGCGACCCGAGGTAGGACATTCATTCAAGCTCAGAGAAAATTTTATGAGACGATTATTACACATCATTTTCATCTAAATTGTACCATGTAATAACGTTTTTGAAAAAAAGTCATCAATTTTACACATCATATATTACAATTAAATAATAAATATCTATTTCAACAAACCTCTTAATGATTATTATAATAAATAAATAATTTAAAAAAAATAATTATGTGATATGATTTGAATAAAAATAATATATATTAATATAAAATAATCATTTTATATAATTCTTTTATCTTCAAGGTTGATGTCGGGCCAATTATTGGATCTAAAAGCCTTTCGGACTGCTTTTGTAAATTTGAACAAAATGAGTTTTGAATTTAAAATTGATTCCTATTTCTTGGTTCTGCTTTTAAACATAAACGACAAATGAAAATCAAGAAATTACATGTGCTCTCACTTTCTCAATCCTTTGTTATTCTATATTTTCGCCATACACTTATCCTTGAACCCCAATATACATGAAGACTGTCTTTTAGGGAACGTTTCATCTGTTGAGACTTCAAAGACTTCGATTGTAAAATAAGATATGGTGCTAAATTTTCAATTTGAAAAAAAAAAAAATTAAATCATATGTAAGTTGATTTCAAGATTCTCCCATCTTAGTTTTGTTATTTCCTTCCAATAACAGAAGTATTAACTCCTTGAGCCCAGTACCTGCAAATTTTTCATTTAGTTCTTTCAAAGAAGACTATCGAATTAGTTGTTGTGTCACCAACTTCAGTTTATCAAATTGACCCACCATGTATGTTATTCGTGTTGCTGCATGGTAATCAGCTGGCACTTCCAAGCCAATTATGATCAAGTTTTTCAAGTTCTTTACAGCTTGTCTTCTATCATCCCCCGCATGCAAACATTCGACCTTAACAGTGACTGAATGATGAATTCTGATGATTGAGGTTTCTTTGAAACTCCCCAAAACTCGATCAGCCACATGCAGACTTCTCTTAAACTTGTTCATGGAAAAAGAATCAGCTTTAATGCAATTCGGAACACACACACGCACACACTATACAGCTCCATATTTTGTCCATTCCCCTGCTTTCAAGCATAAAACATGGAGGCATGATTTAACGTTTGTTTCAAATTTTGCTTTGACTATAGAAAAAGGGTATCTGAAACCCAACAAAAATAAGGGTCCTACCCTGAGTCAAAAATTGATTGGCACTGATAAATTGTCCGATGAGAAATGTGGGTTTGTAGGCCACTTATGCTTTCATTTATTTATTTTTTCCATTCATATAATGTAATTGGGGATCAAATCTCAATCTACCTTACAGAATCAAATAAAAGTTTTCTGGTTGTGCCTTGTCCTTGCCTTTTTTTCTTTTGGCTTTACCGTTCACTTCAAAGTTTTGCTTAAACAACAGTCAATTAATTGATCTAATAATTATACAATGCTAATGTTATCCAATAATTAAACAATGCTAATGTTAATGCTCATTCTCTTGAATTTTCATGAATCATGACCCAATTCCAGCATAGCAGTACTTCAGTTCACACGCTTCAAGAAGGCAACAAATTGGAGCCGATCAGATTCCTGCCGGGAATGGAAATTCAGGGCAATGTGATTTTTGTTTGATTTGATGTAACCCCTGGATTTTTGTTTGAAAGTCTGTATGCAAATGCTTTAGGCGTAACTGAACTTCATTCCAAAAACTCTTGTTCAGCATTGAAAACAGAAAATCTCCCATTTTAACCCCCCCCCCCACCAAAAAAAAAAACATGTATCTGGTTTATTCTATGCTAGATGTCTAGACAAACATAGCGACATATCAATCAGAGTTAAGGTGGCCAGGAAAAGAGATTGTCACTGAGATAAAATCAAAGTAGTTCAGCTGTCATGAAGATGCGATAACAACACCCAAAGTCTTGAAAGATTTTGGGATGAGAAGTAACCATCACATACAAAATTGTGTCTAAATGTGTACTTGAAAGCAACCTACGGATCGATGAAATTGTAATGATTCATGACAACCAAAGAAGGAAGCTTCATGAAAGAAATTTCTGCTAAAGCTAATAAAAAGGGGAAATAGTCTTATCGCTATGCTCTTAATGAGCTATGGCCCTTCATTCCTTTTTTATAGAAAGAGATTGAAATTTCATTAACTAGTGAGATAATAGATATGTAAAGATGGTTCAGACGACAACCCATCCAGAGTAGCATCTCCATGTCACAGAAACCATGATTTTAACGAACTGATATAAAATTCCAACAACCGTAATTTTTCCTCTTATTCTCATATTGCTGTTTCTTTGTAAAAGAAATAATGGATGATGGGAAAGCTTATATGTGATGGTAATGGAATGGTTTGGATGGAATTGGAGTGTCTAACATAAAAAAGATTTGTTTATATGATTAGGTAGTGAAAAATCAGTGCGAAAACAAATTTGAATTATGTTTGTTCAGTTTGGGTTATGGAAGGGAATTTTATGCTAAAAATCAAATATTTCCATGTATAAATCCCGATGGCTTTTGTCATTTTTCCGAGCTTGTTGGAATCCCCAGGTAAGAAAGGGATGCGAAGGGAACATTACCATAAAAAAATGGGACAATTCCATATCTCACCTCTTAAGAATATTCATTCGTTTTTGACAAAACTGTTCTTCAATATCTGGTTAAAATGGCTGAAATTTTTTTCCAATGGTTTCATTTTGTTCCTTAGACATTGTTGTTCTTGCATGCATGCGTGCATCCTGCTCAGTTTTACAGAATATTGTAAGTAACAGGTTTGTTAGTAGATTATTTATAACTCTAAAAGTAATACTATCACATGTGCACACAGTTTGATTCTTGGAATGGAAAAAAAAATATCTATATCAAGTTAGTTTCATTATCAAACACATCTCCACTAGAATTTAAAATTTGATTCAAATAGTTCATGCAATCATTTTTATAAGATGATTGTCAATAAATTCGATATTCGAATTTCAACAATTATAACTTATTTTCTTATTAATTGATTGCAACTCTTTATCTAAAAATTTTTTTTAATGTTTATTAAAAAATATCATTTATCTATTCCAAAATTTAATGAAAATTTATTGACTTAGAAGGTTGAAATAATTTATCTATCCCAAAATTTAATAAAATTTATCTTATAATTTATTGTCAATAAAATTTAAAAACGTTATCAACAAAATTAGAAAGGACTTCTATACCCCATCAAATATATTTTAAAATATTAATAAATTCATATAATAAATAATGTGACATGTAACAAGATTTTAACATGGTTTTTCTCGAGTTTAAAAATTCTACATATTATTGTGAAGTTCTTTTATAAAATAATTTAATAAAAAATCTAAACTTACAGATTAATAAAAATTAATGTGAAAATCAATAATATATATAATTATTAAAAATATTATTTATAATTCAAATTTGATTTATATTATTCAATGATAAAAATTCGATCAATATTTTTATTAAAAATATCTAATTAAAAATATATCAAAATTTATTTAAATTTTTTCAAAATTTACAATTTTAACAAGATTTTTTAATTTATCGATTTTGATTTTTAATTTTAATTTTTTATTTAATCATTTTAATTATAAAATTTTACAAACTTTACTTAAGAAATTTCCTCTAAGTTTTTTTTCACATATATTAACAATAATTAAAGGAAAATATTTTTATGCAAAAAAAATGGTTAAAAGGAAAGCATGGTAGTGGGGGAGTGGATGGCTTGGATTTGGGGCCTTTGAACTTTGGTGAAGAAGATATATTGGAAGATTAGAAGCAAAGAAAAACTCACTCACGGACCGGCTCCATGCTTTTATTAACTGCATTTAAAGCACAGCAACTTAATTAATGGAGGCATGACTTGACGTTGGTTTCAAATTTTCCTTTGACTAAATAAGAGCGTACATAAAGACCCCAAGCCCAATGGTCCTACCTCGTAGTCAAACATAGGTCCACATTCATCAATTATCGGCTGAGAAATGTGGGTTCCCTTCTCTCACTTCACCTTTTTTTAAAAAATTTTTTAAACCTACACAAAAAGATCTTGCCCTTGCTTTCCATTTCCTGTCCATGGAGATGCTGAATATGCAATTGCAACCCAATACCATTTTTTTTTTCTTTCTAATAGGCAAATGTCAGCCAATTGAGCTAGAAAGTGTTATTATTTTCGATCTGATTGCTGTAATTAAAAATTTAAAATTTTATAGTAATACATTAATTATTTATCATTTAACGAAGATGACAAATTTTGGGTAAATTTATAGAAAACAAAGAGATAGAAATAATAATATTATTATGTGAAATAATAAAAAATTTATTGTTTGACATTTGAATTATTTGGTTTGAGAGTACTTTTTCGTAATTTTTTAACATATCTATTGTGAGCAAAACTTTATGTGACCCGACCCTTGTCAAAATTTTCAATGAAATAATTGAAACTGCAAAAATTTCTGCAAAATTCAAGTTGTTGATGCTGACTTTTAGCTTTAGCACGTGAAATGTTTATCCCAGGGTCCATCACATTTCAACGACAGCAAAGCCATATTTTCCGAGGAAAAAAAAAACGTTTTTAAGGCAGGCGCCGAGGAGATCAACATGGATTTTAGCTTGTCTTCTTATATTCTAGTCACTTTTTATAATTCAGAATAATTAAATTAATGAATATATAATATATCCAAAAAAATTAAGGAATATATGAAAGTATAATTTTTTTTTGGAGGAATGCAAGATTTTGAATTTTTTTTTATGCAAAAGTAACCTAAATTTAAAGATATAAGAAGAGATTATGATTGTATTTAGTATATAAGATTATGATAAGATATGATAAAATAATATTATAAGTTAAATTAAATTAAATAATATAATTTTATTTATAGTTAATATATGTAAATATTAGGATATAATAAATTATTTATTTGTTAAAATTATCTTTTCTTAAAATTTATATAATTGAAATAATTGATATAAGATTTAAATATATAATTAGATATATAAATTTAATTTTTAAATTTTTTTAGATATAAATGAAATATGATATAATATGATTATCATCATATCTTATCAATAATCTTATGCATCAAATATAATTTATATATGTTAAAATTTAAAATTTAAATTGATTAAATATCATATATTAAGAGATGATTATAACAATCATCTTGATTAAATATTGAATTCAAAATTTAAATTATATATATATATAAATTAATAAAAGAGTTAGGTTAAGTGGCAAAAGTAGTTAAGCTCAACAATCTTTTGAAAAGGAGGTTTCCCAAACCATTAGATAAAGAATATAATTGAAAAGGAGCGAAGGCTGCCTTCTAAGTCTAATATTCTCTCCATCCTAAAATGATTAGTTTTATTTTGACTTCATGATAGCAATTTTTTTATCTATGCGTTTCCTTTTCTTTTATAAACTTTTTACTAATCTAGTGTGTATATAATATATATTAATTTTCATTGCATTTCTGTTTTATTAATTATTAAAGAACATTTATTTTCTAAAATTTTAGTGATTTAAAAATATATAAGATCAAATACCATATATGAATGGTACACCACCTTTAAAAAAAAAATCATAAAATTATTGCATTGTGATTCTTTGTGTTACTCTTATCTGGTTTCAAAATTACTTAATAACGCGATAAAAATTATTTTTCATTGATTATCCAAGCACAAGTTTTGTCTTTTATCATGTCCTAATGAAGGCTATATGCAATAATGATAATATCATTATGATCAATTGCAAGCTGTCATTTAACATGATTCGAATGGCTTTGTAAAGTTGAAAATGATACTAAAATCTTCTTTCCCCACAAAATTTTTTTTCAATAGTTGATGTTTCATTAATCAGGGAGTGTAGGATGTTATTTTCATTTCTTTAGTGAACAAAGAATAGAAAGATAAGATGTGAAATGCAGGCCCCAACTTCAGCAGCATCTGGGTGGCTTTTTCTCTCAACCCAAACACCCCAAAAAAAAAAGAAAAAAAAAAAGAAAAAGAAATTGTGCCCCCCCCCCCCTTTTTTTTTTTATTTGTTGTCACATGAGAGAGAGCGGTATCGAAATTGCTTTGGTTTGGTTCACATGACTTGAAAAGCACATCAATGAAAGAAAGGAGAGAGGACTTTAGGGCCACATCTGCAGCACGCAAGACCTAAATAGCTATACAGGTATGGCTGTCCTTGTTGCTCTGTCTTCTTCATGCAATGAATGTAAATTCCTTGCCAAATAATTTTGGGCCCTCTCCCACAAATTTACTATTTGAAACCTTCAGTGGTTGTATGAGGCTATGAGGTTGGTTGAGTTATGCTGAGGTGAGATGTTTTAGAATTGTCATCTTATCAAATCTTTTCCTTGTTATACTATGATGTAACAAAATCGCAAAAATTACTTCATTTTTTCCATAACCAAAATTAAAGAAAATAGAATTTCAGAAACATCAGAGAACCAAATTGCACGGCATTGTCATAGCTCTCTGGCCTCTGCATCTGCCACCACCAACAGTGAACACTCGTGCAGTTTCCAGTGTCTACCGGCTCAAACGAAAAAGATTGGCTCCATCATTTCATAATTCTATTTTAATCGAAATAATTGATGAAATTGATTTAGTTTGATTAATTAATTAATTATTAAATTAATTTTAATCAATTAATAATAATAATTTTTTAAAAAATTTTAATTTTTGATTAATTTAATTTAAAAATTGAATTAATTAAATTAATTAAAATTTTTATTAAATATAAAATAAAAAACATGAAATGAATAATTTAATTTTATAATTTATTAAAATTTTTAATATAATATTTTAATATTTTATTAAATAATTTTATTTAATTCATATAAAATTTTAAAATATATTAATTAATTAATTAGATTAAATTAAATTCGATGTATTAATTTTTTAAATTTATAAGTTTAATTTAATTAAGAGAATTAAAATAATTTAATTTTAAATAATTCAATTTAAAATTATTCGAATTAACAAGGTAAACACCCCACCAACGTCTCCATTATAAAAACGACTCTTGAGTCTGGGATATGGGAATTTTCTTTGATCTTTGGGGTTGGGGGCTCTTTAAATTATTAAGAAATGTTTCAATTTCCAAGAAAGAAGAACTGTTGAATTTCTATAGATCAGACGGGTGACAGATGAAAAAAAAACTGAAGCAACAGATCAGAAAAGGGTTTTGCATAAATGCCTAAGCCCACGTGCAATGTGAAATGTCGTAAACCGAAAGGTAAACGCTACAATGATCCATTGTGATGAGATCTCATGAGACCTGAGCTAGATTTGGTAAGATTTATAGGGACATGCAAAGCACACTTGCCTGACTGCCATACAAGGAAAAAAAGTAAGGAAAGAAATTCAATATTGGATAATGGACTCAAATTATTGAAAGCTTATTATTATGGTAACATTAACTAATTAAAAACATAAAAAAAAAATAATTTTACTTTTTTTTTAATTTTTGAAATGCTTATATGATTTTTTTTTCTAGAAGATGGTAACTAAAATGTGATTTTAAGAAAGAAATTGATATATTTAACAAAAATATATAACAAAAATCGTTTTGTAAACTATAAATAAAACTTCAAATACATGTAAAGGTTAAATATATGGGCATAAACATTAAAATTTTTGTCAAAATTTTATTTTTGTTTGAATTAAAAATTAAAATAAAAAAGAATATATTTATATAATGATGTGCCAAGGACTAAATTTAAAGACAAAATATAAAAGATATAAAGGAATGAAATTAAATATAGTAGGTGTTCTAGTATGATATTTTAGAAAAATAATGAGCTAAGAACCCTTTTCCAAACTATCGCATTGTTTGATATATTATTAGTGGGATTTTTTAATATCATATAAAGAGCTATATTCTAACTTTTTTTTTTAAATATGCATTAAGAGGTACATTTATAATATTAATTTTATTTATGAAATTAAAAAATTTTACTATTAATGTATTTAATAATTTCTTTTATTTTTTTTATTATTGACATATTCAATATGATTAGTTAAATGAATTATGCAAGTTATATTCATGTTACGCAAATTAGCATGATTAAGACAATAATTTTTTTTTATTATAAATGGGTTGACACAAATATAATTACATATTCAAAATGACTTAACTATGTATCGCATAAAGATGACAATAAGGCGGGGTAAGGTGATTTTTTTCGACTTGAATGCGATTCGTTTTTATAATCTTTTAATCTAATTCTATACCTTTTAACACTCAAACATTAACTTTAAACTCAATCCTGACATATAGAATCTGATGGAACTCATCCACTCTTAAATTGATTTTTGTGATATTAATTCAGTGTGATTAATCTCATATAATTTTTTATTTTTAATATCAATTACATGTTAATTACCTAGATATATTATATTATTAAGTTAATCTTCTAATTATTATTAAATAATAAATTTATTAATATAATATAAATATGTTTATAAATATAAAATTAAAATTAAAATATTATTTTTATATAAACCCTAGAATTACACCTTGACCTTGCTCAACCGTAACTTTTTTTATTGTAAAACTCGTTCCTTGCATCTCAACCCACTATTTTTTTTTTTCATCACTAACTACTAAGATAATACTTTACTATTTTCATTTTTAAGGTTTTTTCTTATAAATCACCATTATTTTTCCTTTTTTCTCTCTTTGACTTGAAAATAAAATAAAAAATCAAATTTCTAAGGTAAATTGGTAAAACCAAGTTTACTACTTACCAATTTTCAAAAGTTTTTTTTTATTTCCTTTTTTTTTTATTCATTAGTTTATCATAAATTTAATAACATTCTCTCAATAATTTGGATCCATTGCCCCATTTTGAAATTCTTTCCTTATATTTTCTTTTGTCCCGGTTAACCATTTGTTTTCTATGCATCCAAGGGTTCCAATAAATTTTACCAAATCTAACGGCTCATAGTAACAGGGTCTCACGGAATCTCATTATAATGATTCTCATTGCAGTTCTCACTAAACAAAATTCAGTGCTGGACTGGTTTGGCTCTGGGGTTGGGTTGCAGGAGATTGGGGTGGCTTTTACTCTTCATCTCATCATCTGGACCTTTTCTTTTCCTCTCTTTCTTTCATCAAACAAAATAAAATTCCACTTCTCTGCAGTGATATTGACTTGTGATTGGAGCAAGTAGAGCAAAAGGACTGGTGGACCATCCTATTACAGTGAAACATGCTGCACCATATCCCATAAAGGCTTCACGATTATTGTACTAACCCTCCGGTGTACTTAATTTATAAGAAAAAAGTGAATTTTTTCCTTTCCCAAACCAAAAAGAAAAAGGCTAAAATTTGATGTAACCAGCAAGAAAAGGTGTTAAGATCATGGTATGTCTATTCCTCAATTATTTATTATACAATCTATCCTCTTTATATTTTATTTATATATATATATATATATTTTTGGGTCTAAGTGCCTTTCCGATTTTGTTTATCAGATGTTACACGCAAACACGTTTGCCTTCCTTTTTTTGTTTAAAAACCCACTCAAAAACTTGAAGCTTCACTTCCAAAAAGATTTATTGATTTGCAGCTTTCTCCTCATCTTTGGTTTTTCCCTGTCTTGTAAGAAGGAGCTCAGCTAGACTTAAGCTATGGAAGATAAAATGGAGGACTCTTCGGGTCAAAGAGAAATGTCTCACCAAGAAATGCCTATAAGACAGAAGGGTGGCCTCGTTACCATGCCATTCATAATAGGTACATTCATTCAAAATGATAAACAAAAAAGTTCATTTCTTTTGCATTGTGTTACTTGAGTGTTTGTATAAAGTTTTACTGTACTTCTGGTCATCTTTTTAGCTTTTGCTATATCTTTCAATCTTTGTTTTTGGGTGTTCAGTAAAGCAGCAAATCATGGCATGTTATACTTTTCTGGTTCATGCAGAAGCACCCACATAAAATACATGTAACTTTTTACATGGAATTCTGCTATTGGCAGTCTTGAAAGTTTAGATAATTCTCATGGTGATTTTTAAACCCAAGTCCTGAGATTTTCGTTTCGAAATGCAGCCAATGAATCATTTGAGAAGGTGGCAAGCTATGGGCTGGTTACCAACATGATACTGTACCTGATTAAAGACTATCACATGGGAGTTGCTAAAGGCACCAATATTCTCTTCTTCTGGCAAGCTGCTACCAATTTCACTCCTATTTTGGGTGCTTTCGTCGCTGATTCATACCTGGGTCGTTTCCTCACCATTGGCTTGGGGTCCATTTGTAGTCTCTTGGTAACATTTCTCCTTAATCCCCTCACTTTAATGCTAATTGTTTCCATGTGTAGCGCAGTTGGAAGTCCAACTTCTAAGTGAAATAATAAATAATGATCTATGTTGACAAGTACTAAAACAATTACTACTAATTAAGTAGGATAATGACCAGCTTTAGCTTAACAAAGAATGTCCCTTGGGATCTTGTTTTATTTTATTCCATTTTCAAAGTTAGCGCCTGTCGCAAAGGATTTGTCCCAGAAGCCCATGTGAATATAGGAAACATCTGACTTCTTGGCCCTTAACGTACTACTATCAGTTCATCATTATTGGGAATAAAGCCTGGTGCTTCAAAAATGAGTCAGGATAGAAGAGATTGCTACTCTCCACTTACTCAATTTCTTGTTCATATGAAGTCTAATATATGCCACACAAGCTAAAGTTTGGGTGGTTGATGTGGGTGGACGGTATAGTTTGTTGGCTTTAGGCCTTAAACTGGAATAACAATGCTCCTTTCTTGTACCAAACGTTCTTTTTTCAAACAATAGGATGAGCGTTTTCAAGAAAAGTGTAATTGTTCAAGTACATGTGGATTACAATGGCCCAGATGATTTATGCTTAGGGATAGTGAATAATGGAAAGAATTTAGTAAAATTCCATCTATATATAATTATTATATTTAGATGATTAGAAGCTTAGTAAATAATAAATGAGTTTGCTTCTTTTTAACGTGTTCCAAAAATCAAACCCTTATAATTAACTACAAGTCATCATCATGCTCTTTCTCAATGTTTCCTTCAGTTTTATTTTCAACAAATTAAATGTTGTGCATGGCCCTGTATAATACCCGTTTTTACCTCATTCTGATATAAAGATTTTTTTTTTGTTATAAAAGAGGCCGAATGGAAAAAAAAAGGATTATTGTTGTTTGAGATTCAAATATTAGATACTTTGGATGTCATTTTTTGAGGATGTATAAATTAACTAAATTATATTCCATACTTATATAAATATTAGACTTTGCGTTGCCTTTTTTTTTTTTACTACTAAATCTATAACAAAAAAATTATCAACATAAAGGGACACTTAAGCATTTAGTTTTTTAAAGCCTTCTACCCTTAGAAGAGTGTGTCCAGGCAAATGGTTGCCTTAGGGATAAATATATATTTTTGCCAACGCCGTAGGGAGCGTTAGCCAGGTGCTTTAGTTGATTTGTATTGCGCCTTGGACCATAGGTGCAGGCTTTGACAACACCGCTACCAAGAGGATAGACATTTCATGTTTATCATCAGCATAGGACCGACTTGGTGCAAAAGTTTCCTTTTAATAGACCATGTTACTTGCCCTGACAACACTGCTACCAAAGCAAACAATTGTGAAGGGAGACATTTTATGCTTATCAGCACTGGACCAGCTTCGTGGAAAAGTTACTTTCATTATCTGACTCTATTATTAGGTTGATGAACAAAAATCTGTAATGAGAGCGTTTGTCAGCGCTGGTCCACCCTGGTGCAATGGAAACCAAATGCTGGAGGGTGAGCAACCGAGCCAAGAGGTGATTGCCACATGGACTTATTTGAAATGTAGGAAAAGCCCAATTCTGATTTTCTGGTATTTTAGATTTTTATAGCTCAAAATTGTAGACTGTGATGGAAATGATCACATTATCTAAGACTCAAATCTCATACCATGCTTTTGCGAGAGATTCAACTATTATATCAAAAACATTTCTGGTGGTAACTTTTGTAAGAATTAAAGAGTAAAAGATTACTATTCTTAGCTTTGTTTATTAGGAAGAATTGAAACTTTTTTAGTCTTTGGGATTCATAATCACATTTGTTATTTATTAGTTCAACCTTTAAATTAAAATTTTTTTCCTTTCTCCTTTTCCATCCTTTCGAGTAAACCAAGAGTTAAAGTGCTTGTTGCTTGGGTTGATTGGAAGGTGTATTTATTTAACTAAATATGATGGCTAAGTGTCACGGAAATCTTTTACAGTGTCTTTTATCTAACATCCTTTTAATTTAGAGGTTTAAAAACTTATTTAGAATTCCTACAAAAGTAGCTAGATACATTAATGCATATTACACATATCCAATACATTATTGTGACTTTCCCAAATTTTAACATTTTCATGGCATATTGTGACTAGTTTAAACCAATGCCTTGCACCATATGGTCTAATTTAGATGCACTGTATTATGCCTAGTCATGAACATGATCCTGACCTTGAATGCTATAGGGGATGATGCTTTTATGGCTGACAGCCATGATTCCACAGTCAAAGCCTCCCACCTGCGATATAATGACTCAGACCTGCAGATCTCCAACCGCAGCTCAAATGACTCTATTAATCTCCTCATTTGTTCTCATTTCCACTGGAGCTGGTGGTGTTAGACCATGCTCCTTGGCATTTGGAGCTGACCAATTGGACAGAAGAGATAATCCAAAGAATGACAGGGTCCTAGAAAGCTTCTTTGGCTGGTACTATGCTTCAGCAGCTATTTCTGTTCTAATTGCATTGACGGGTATTGTCTATATTCAAGACCATCTTGGATGGAGAGTGGGCTTTGGAGTTCCAGCAATCCTAATGTTGCTCTCTGCACTTGTGTTTTTCCTTGCTTCTCCCCTCTATCTCAAGCAGAAAGCAAGCAAGAGCTTGCTTACTGGCTTTGTACAAGTAATTGTTGTTGCTTATAAAAACCGGAATCTGACATTTCCCCTTCCAAATTCAAGTGGAAGTTACCATCACAAAAGGGATTCAACGATTGCTGCGCCAACTGACAAGTTAAGGTACAAAACTACAATACACTATCCCTTACCATTTAGATATCATGCTTGATCGTTTTGATTGACTTCGTTGCTTTTGTGCACCTAGATTTTTGAACAAAGCTTGCATCATCAAAAATCCCGAACAAGACATAGCCCCGGATGGCTCAGCTTCGAACCCATGGAGTCTTTGCATAATAGAGCAAGTAGAAGAGCTGAAAGCACTTATTAAGGTGTTACCATTGTGGTCTACAGGGATCATAATGTCAATAAATTTAAGCCAAAATTCATTCCCTGTGCTTCAGGCTAGCTCTATGGACAGATACCTTACAAAAAAGTTTCAGATTCCCGCAGGCTCTTATGGAATGTTCAACATCATTTCCCTTGCACTATGGGTTATTCTCTATGATCGTGCGATTCTCCCCTTGGCATCGAAGATCAAGGGTAAACCGGTAAGGATTGGTGTCAAACTAAGGATGGGTATTGGGCTATTTCTTACATGCATAGCTATGTTAGTTTCAGCAATTGTGGAGAACGCCAGACGAAGAAAAGCAATCAGGGATGGGTTTCTAAACAATCCTCATGCAGTTTCAGACATGTCTGCTATGTGGCTTGTGCCGCAATTTTGCTTGAATGGCTTAGCTGAGGCTTTCACTGCAATAGGGCAGACAGAGTTCTTTTATTCCGAGCTACCCAAGAGTATGTCAAGCATTGCAGCTGCTCTCTTTGGACTAGGATTGGCTGTGGCAAATTTGCTAGCTAGTGTTGTAGTGAGCATTATCGATAAGATTACCTCGAGAGGAGGGAAAGAGAGTTGGGTTTCAAGTAATATAAACAAAGGTCGGATTGACAAATTCTATTGGGTTCTCGCCAGTTTGAGTTTCATCAATCTATTTTATTACTTTCTCTGTGCCTGGGCTTATGGACCTTGTGGTGAACAAGCAACGAAAGTAAGCGATACAGGGAATGGTTTGAATAAGGTTGGACATGAAGGGAATGGGCTGAAGAACGGAGAAGAGTGATCCAAAACCTGATATTTTCTTGCCTGATGAGTGTTTATGGTCTTGGAATGACTGTTGCAGTTAAAATTTGCCTACAATAATATAGTCTTTTGCTAGTAACTAGGAATATAGTTTTTGAAACCATCCCATCTTTTCTGCACTATTTACTTGTGTCAATTTCTCTTAACTCTGTGCCACAAGCCATTCTTTACCCCTCTTTTACATTATATTTTATACTTCAGTAAGTAGTGGTTGTCTGATGATTGAATCTTCGGTTTACATTCAACAGTGTTTCGATGCATTTTTGACTCAGAATATTGCATTCTGAAACAGACCAGACCTAATTGTCATCTTGAACTCTTTAAATCATCTGAAAGGTAAAGGCACTGGAATCACAATAAACAAATATAAAACTTCTTGGGATGAGAGATGGTACAGAAATTGTTCCAACTGTGAAGATCTTTAAGTCCAAAGCCAGCTTCAGATTTGGGATGAGAGATGGGTTGCCAACCTACTCTGGCACCAGTCCAGAGGAATCTAGAATAAAGCTCATTAACCCTTTTCAAGATACTCTTGGGAAGAATGAAATGCCTACCCCAATAGTTCTTAAGATTAAACAAAACTGATTGTATAAGTTGGACTTTACCTAAGTTTGATAAGAATTTAACAGCCTAAGAATAAATCTTTTCCGTGACTTTTTCAACCAATCAGTAAGCCTCCTTGTTACAAGAGGGACTCCAAGGTATGTAACTGGTAGCGTACCAAGTTAAACATCGGAAACCTGATGCATTTCCAGAAGGGATTCGTAGCTAATACCTTAAGAAAATAACTCTGTTTTTACACAATTCAACTGCAGGACAGAGAAAGTGTAGAAGACCATTAGTACATTCTGCACCCCCATGATAGAACCCAAATTGCCTTTGGTGAATATCATTAAGTCATCTGCAAATACACAAATGGGTTAAGTTTACCCTTTCACATTTAGGATGATAATCAAACACCCCAAATTTGGCAATTGCGTCAAGAAGTTTGGAAAAGAACATTGACAGCGATATCAAAAAGGTATGGGGAAACACGATCCCCTCGTCTCATTCCTCTTGCTCCCTGAAAATATCCAACCAATCCACCGTTCAAAGATATAAAGAACCTGGTAGTGGTGATGCAGCATTGGATCCACCTTATAAATTTACAATAATACTTCAATTAATTGTATGTAGTAAGTTATTTAACTTCGAAGATAACATCATGAAGAATAGAAAATTGTAGATAAGTTTGGATACTGCCCTTATTTTTCTGAAATACTTGAAACCCTACCCTACTACTGGTTGAAGAGGATATTATATAATTAGATGTTGAACTATTAATGGTTGTTTGGACAGTTACTTTTGGATTGAGAATGGGTTATTTGTTTTATAACATTGTTATTTTGGAAAAAAAAAAATGACCAACCCAATTCTTTGAAATCGCCAGCCTATTTATGTTTACCCTCGCTAGGGTTGTTGGGCTTGGAAAATGGAATAAGATAACTACAAAACCTTCAATTACTTGCAGGAATTCTCCCTCAAATGTCTGTTCTATTTCATACTTTCATAACACAGTTATGCACTATAAAATCTCTGCTGTGAAATCCAGCAGCCTCTTTCAATTCTGAATAATTTAAAATTGAATAATACAAATGTTAATTATTCATCAATTTAAACCAAAACCCACAAAAAGCAAATCAATTGGCAAGCAATTTGCCTATTTGAATGCCTTCAAATGAGCAAAAGCTGCAAAATTAATACATGTAAAGACCAGGGAAAGAGTCTCAAAGCTTACTCACTTGACTTGCCTTCATACTATCTTTATTTGAGGCCATCCACTGCTTACCCAAAGCAATTAGCTCACCGTTTCCTTTCCTTCTGACATCCACCACCACCTGCGTAAGCTTTCCCTTTTGCCCTATAACCTTTGCCTCTATCTCCACTTCTTCCTGCCATTAGAACTTATTCTATTTTTAAACCATAACTAAAGGAAAAGAGCTTAAGATTTACCATACGAGAAAACTAACTTGAATCTTGGCAGTCGAATGAAACGAAATGTCGAAATCAAGAGAGGCTTTGACATGATCTGCAACGGAGTAAATAGCAGCAGCTCCAACGTCGTCAATCAACGTGGCCATGGCTCCAACATGCCAATTCCCATCTGCATCCTACGGATAAAGATATGTATAAGTTATAATATTCTTTTATTTTGCCTTCTGATTAAAACAGAATGAAGATAGCAATATAATCGAAAGAGATTGATCAGATTTATTTACTGATACACGACTGGGTACAACGAAATTACAGCGTATGAAACCCTTTTGGCCATGGAGAATCTGCAGTCCTTCCAAAGTCAGGGCCTCCAGCTCGTGGCTTATGATTCCATTTGACAAACCTCCCAACCATTTCAGGGATTTTTGTAGAGAGCCATCCTCCATTTTCAGACCTTCTTCCTCTTGCTTTTCCCCTTGGGTTACAGGGGAACTAACTAAACTTGGTTCCTTTCTTATTGACTTCAAGCCATATTGGCGGGCGGCCCTGGTTAATATTTTAACTACTCTATATTATTTAGATAGCCTTTTGTCCTTAGACAACCGTCAGCCATTAGCTGTAAGTTATCCGCCTTTTCTTGTAGAAAGAAGAATCCAATTTTAAAAGAACAACGAAAATTAAAAAAAAAAAAGGAGGATTTGAATGTCATGTTAATTTAAGTTCGGTCAAATTATACAAACAATTCTTGCATTTAGGTAAAATAGTAAATTTAGTTTTATGTCAATTGAGTCTTTTTATTTTTATAAATTATTAATTTTAGTCCAAGCATTAATAAAATAATTTTTTAATGTGGATGTACTTTAAAAATTGATAATATGACATTGATTAAAAAATCATGATATTTTAAAAAAAAAATGTGAAAATTTTGTATTATATTAAAATTTAAAACTTTTTATCACATCATGCTTTAGTAAGTTTTAATACCAAAAAAATAAAGTAAAAAACTAATGTGAAATATAGAAAATTAAAGTAAAAACAATAGATGTATTTAAAAAAGAAAGAAAATATAGTTTTATGGGATTGAAAGAATGAATTAATGTAGATGATAGATGATGAGAATGGACACGTAAGTATTAAAGGATACAGTGATATAAGGAGAAAACTAATTTCTGTTTTCGATTACAGCTAGAGTCAAGTCTTTCATTCCACTCATATGAAACGATGACAAAAAAAGAAAAAAAAAAAAAGAAGAGCATCATTCCACTGTGTATGACAGTTTTCATACAGAGGAAATCCTTTGTGAATTGTCCAATTTTCTTAGGTGTAGAATTTGATGAACGATAATTAATGTAATTAATGATACATGGAGTAATGTAAAACCAAAGTTCTGCTCTTAAACAGAGCTGAAAAACAAGACATTCTTCGAAGCAATCTCTGGAGTTTTTCCTTATCCGAACCGGTCTTGCAAGAAAATAGGATTTCATATTGAGCTCCAAATATACGCCAAACAAATCGAAATGAAAATACCAGAATTTTGTTCCCATGGTTCATGAATAACACATTTCAGTTTTTTTAAAGTGTTGGCAGAATTGGATGAATACAAAATCTGGTTTTGAACTGCAGAAGAGGAGTTTAAATATCTGTTCTTTCTTTGTTCTCCAAGAAGTAGAATTCCCAATAACTCTGAAATCTGAATTAAGCCATAGCATTGGAAAGGGAATCAATGGCTTCAGAGAAAAGTATGGAGAAAGGGATCCCACAAAATTCGTCTAAAAGGCGAAAAGGGGGGTTCATCACCTTGCCATTCATCATAGGTACATGCATCTAATGCATATATATTAGCTTGAATATTTTGTTGTATTATTCATGGTCATTGGTGCTATATTGTTCTGACTTCTGAACATTGATTTTGAATGTTTCAATTACAGCAAATGAGGCGCTTGAAAAGGTGCCAAGCTATGCGTTGGTGCCAACCATGATGCTATACTTGAAGAGTAACTATCACATGACCATTGCCGCAGGGCACAATCTTATAAACCTTTGGCAAGCTTTTAGCAATTTTGCACCTATTTTGGGTGCCTTCTTCGCTGATTCTTACATGGGTCGTTTTGTTACCATTGGCTTGGGTTCAATTTCCAGCTTCCTGGTAATTGGGTCTTCTTTTTCTATGACATCAGCTGCGGTTTTGATTCTTAACTTTTTAAGATGGTTGTTATAACGTTATGTTCTTGTTCATGAATCTCTATTTTGGATTTTTACGCCTGAATTTAATGTTTCAGGGTGTGACAATTCTATGGTTAACAGCCCTTTTACCACAGGCAAGGCCTCCTCCTTGTGACCCCTTAACTCAAAGCTGCAAATCTGCAACAGCAGGCCAGCTGGGTATCCTAGCCTGTGCCTTGTTTTTCAAGTCCATGGGGGCGGGCGGCATTAGGCCATGTTCCATGCCATTTGGTGCTGATCAGATGAGCAACAAAAGCGAAAAGAGCCTGGAGAGCTACTTCAGCTGGTATTATGCTGCAGCATCCCTTGGTGGTTCGCTTGGTTTGACGGTTGTCATTTACATTCTACAAATATATGGGTGGAAGGTGGGATATGGAGTTTGCGCATTTCTAATGCTTCTGGCGGCTCTGGCGTTTTACATTGCTTCTCCCCTCTATGTTAAGCTGAAAGCAAGCACAAGCCTCTTCACTGGCTTTGTACAAGTTGTTGTGGTTTCTTATAGGAAGAGAAATCTCCCATTTCCATCTCAAAAATCAGGTTACCATCACGGAGAGGATTCAAAAATTATTTTCCCAAGTGAGAAATTAACGTTTATGAACAAAGCGTGCATCATTACAAATACTGAACAGGAGATAGGCCCAGATGGATTGGCTTTGGACCCCTGGAGACTCTGCACAGTTCAGAAAGTCGAAGAGCTTAAAGCACTTCTTAAGGTCTTACCAATATGGTCTACAGGGATCGTGATGGCGATAGCTGGAAGCCAACACTCGTTTCCGGTACTCCAAGCTAGTACCATGAACAGGCAAGTTTTTGGAGGCTTCCAGATACCAGCAGCCTCTTTAACCGTGATCGTCTACGGCATTGCAGTGGTTTGGGTTGTTCTTTATGAGCGTGTGATAATTCCATTGGCATCAAAGATCAAGGGTAAACAAGTATATATCAGTGTTAACTTGAGGATGGGACTTGGTTTATTCCTCTCGGTCATAGCCTTGGGATTTACAGCAATGGTTGAGAATGCCAGACTAGGCAAAATAATCCAGGAGGGGCATGTCAAAGATCCTAGTGCAATAGTAAATATTTCAGTAATGTGGCTTCTCCCACAGTATATCGTGATGGGCGTGGCTGAGGCTTTGAGTACACTTGGGCAATTCGAGTTTTATCATCGGGAGTTCCCAAAGACCATGTCAAGCATTGGTAATTCCCTGTTCTTCCTGTCACTGGCATTGGCACACTTACTGAGTAGTGCTCTCTTTAACATTGTCAACCAGACTACTTCACCGAGTTGGGTTGCAGACAATCTTAATGAGGCTCGCTTCGACAATTACTACTGGCTTCTTGCAGGGTTGAGTCTTGTCAACGTGTTTTATTACATCATTTGTATCAGTTCTTATGGATCCACCTCAGATGTCATGGATGAAGGATATGTATCAGAGGAGGAGTAATAAACCTTAGAGTAGTCAGGTTTGGGGATGAAGGAATTAAAAAGCTCGGACGAGCAAAAAGACTTATCTCGGTCGGTCTTGGATCTTGCCAGCCTGGTTTATGGTTTGGCAGGCTATCGAGCCCTGGTTGTCATGTCGAATGTTTTACCTCCATAACTTTTATTTTCCTGCATGATTCGCCCTCAATTGATCTTATATTTGATTCTTCTTTTTTATTATTATAATTATTATTTTCAAGTGGCCATATGAGTTTATTCATTAAAGGAAACTTACATATGGTTTAAGTTAACGGACATTCATAATTGTTCAAAATTAACCAAAAGAAACCAAAGAGTTACTCCACTGATGCACGAGCCAGTATGATGAAATTACAGCACACAAACCGCTGTTGGACATTTGAACGATTTTCACTTCTTTAGTAAAAGGGTAAGAAAAAGGGTGCTTATTCTCGTAATAGTGTTTCTTGATAAATTCATAGGCTTGGCCTCAATTGATCCCACTCAATTTTTAAAAAATTAATAATATATATGTAAATTAATATTAAAAAATTATTATTATTTTTATATTGACACCTGAAAGATTTATTTAAAAGGGTAAAAAAAAATTTCGTTTTTACTTTTACAGTCATTTTAATTTGAAAATTCTCATAATTTTCTTTCTTTACACGTAAAAATTTAACTCATGAATTCAAAAAAAATTTTAGCATGTATTTTTTGGATTTTTTTATTAATAATATTTTTAGTCTTATTTTAATTTTAATTTTTACCCTTTTTTATTGAAATCTTTTCTTTACTCTGTTGTCATCATATTTACCAATTATAGTTTTTTTCCTTATGAGTTTAATTCAATTTATAAATGATTGGTTTGATATACTTAATGTAATAAGTATTTCATATGTAGTTAGTTATTCAATAGTACAAATTCAATTAATTTCATTATAAAAGAAATAAAAGAAATATTGTTTTATTTATCTACTTGCATTATTTTTTAATATTTTGATTGTCACGATAGAAAAAATGGAAAACAAATTATGTAGTTGAAACCATTGAAATAAATTTTTTTATTATGGATTAATTATAAGAAAATATGTATTTATTTAAAAATTGTATTATATAGTGTGATTTTTTTCCGTATTTAATTTTCTTAATGTTATATTAAATAACAAAATATTATAAATAAAAAATAATATTAAAATATCAACCCCAGTAACACAGATTTCTGGTTAGGCCACTAGATAAATTCATGTTTTATTACGGATGATTTGGATGTATGTCTAGTTGTTTGTGAATTCAACTTTTAAGTGGATCAATGAAGTTAAAAATTTTATAAACGAAATTAATAAAATAACACATATTTTAAGTGTATTAATAAAAATTATATCAATCTTTTAATTTTATTTATAAAATTAAAAAATTCCATCATCAATATATTAAAAAAGAGTTCGAATATTAATCAAACTGAGACAAGTGCCAGCAGAGTAATTAATTGGAAGCTTATTAGTGATTAAGGCAGTTTAATTAATTAGGAGCACTTTCTTGAAGCTTACATGAATCTGATCACTTGGAACCAAAGCAATGCGTTGGAGTGCTGGGGGCTCTTCCTTCCTTCAAGAGATCCAAATACGGAAGGAAATGGCAACTTTTTCATTAAGGAAATTATGTAGAAATCAGAAACTCCAAATTGGTTGTGAATGATGGGTTGACCACTGTAGTGAGGTTTTTTATATATATATATATATATATATAGTCGGTTCGATATGGTTGGACAATTAAGGATCATTGGATTTATCTTTTTGTTCAGCTAGTCAACAATGATGGGCAATTGGATTCAACGTATTTTATGGATGCAGTAACGCAATTCAGGCTGAACAATGCCTCCGCACGACCTTTTACATGTTCAGAATGTTTGAAAAGCAACCCAAGATTAATGTCGTGGCTTAGCATTGTACATCCATATGAAATTAAAAACAAAACAAAATTAAATTGAATCATGTTAAGTATATAAAAATAAATTTCATTAATCATGTTAGAGTTGAAGAACAAAATATCAAAACTAAAAATACATAGTATTTGATTCGATAATTAACGTATAATCATTTTTTTCAAAAAATCTGACTAACATAATAGTTGAATTTTATGTTCACATACATATTTAATTTAATAAAATTTAAAATTTAATTAATTCATATAATTATTTAAAAAATAATATTTAATAAATTTAAAATTTAAATCTTAAAACCGATAACTCTTTCTCTATCATATATTAAAAAAAAACTACAATATATATGATTCTCAAAGCTTAGGTCGAGGTTGAGGTGATCTATAATCATTAGAAGCCGTCCATTGTTTACCAATTGCAATTAACTCTCCGTTGTGTTTCTTTCTAACATCCACCACCACTGATGTAAGCTTTCCCTTGTTCCCTATTACCTTTGCCTCTATCTCTACTTCTTCCTGCACCCATAAAGTATATTTGATATTCACCGTTAGTTACTCAAATTTATTGTTTTATAACGTTTTTTTGTAATTGATAAATTGAGATTAATTTAGGGGTAATAGATAACCAAGAAAAAAAAAAGCTAAACCTGAATCTTAGCAGTTGAATAATAGGATATGTTGAAATTAACAGTGACCTTTAAATGGTCACCAATGGAGTATATGGCGGCGCCTCCAACGTTGTCGATTATCGTTGCTATTGCTCCGACGTGCCAATTCCCATTTACATCCTATAGAAAATTGAAAAGATTAAATATATTTTTTAATTTAAAAAAGTGGGATTCGAATTTTATTTTTTGAAATGAAAAAACATGCATTAATCATATAATAATTGCTTAAAATGAAGTATTTCAACCTATAGAACAAAAATAAATTAAAAAAAATTAAATATAAAAGCACATTAACTTTTAAAACTTGAAATATCATCTTAAAAATGTTTCAAGTTGGAATAGTGAGATAAAAGAAAAGATTATTTGTGATATGTAATTCAAAATCATATTAAAAAAAAAAAAAAAGGTAAGTAAATAAGATCTTACGGATGCATGAGTTGGAACGATGAAACTACAACGTAGGAAACCCCTCTGGGCACGGATGACCTGAAGACCTTGAAGGGTTCGGGACTCCAGCTCGTAACCTATGGCTCCAGTTGTTACATCTTGCAGCCATTTTAGAGATCTCTGCATCTGCAAAATGCTTTCTTCCATTGATTTCTCTGCTGAGATCTTACTTTTCTCAAATCTCTTTCTCTTGTTAATTATGTTATATCCCCCGCTTTCCTCCTCTTATATATACAAATTTTGGGGTCTAAAAAAGGGTCTATGATACTATGACAAGTAACCCTGAAATATTGACATTAATTTAGTAATCAATAATTTGGTATGATGATTTCGGCAGATCATTCAATTCAACTAATTAAATAAAGAAAAAAAATGTGAAAGTATGGTGAGATTATTTGTTTATTAATTTTTTTTCCTTTTAATTATATAGTTAAAATTTTCTAAAGTCAAAAGTTTAATTCGAAATATAGAAAAGTAAAAGAAAAACAGAAAGGTTAGTCAAATTGCCTTGTTTGACGTGTTTTAATGTTGTGACTTGGACACGTGCTTTTTTTTATAACTTTTGAAGGTTTGAACATGATTTTTCAACACTAGTTTTCAGTTTAAACTAGCAGGTTTCACCCCGTTTCGCCGGGCGACTGTTTTTTTTTTCAAAATAAAATCATTAAGAAAACAAATGAAATAAATAAAATAATAAATTAAAAATTAAAAATTAAAAAAAAAAGAAAGAAGGTATTTTAGATTAGGTGTAGAGATCCGATTTCGGGTAGCTGTGCGGATTCACATTGCTTTTTTAATTCGATAAAAAAATATATTATAAATTTTTTTTCTTTCGCTATAAAACATACAAACGGCCACTGATCCTTTCCCAGATTTCGAACAATTGCTCGTTTGTCAACGGAAAAAATTCTTCAAAAATCATCAAAAAAATCCTCTTCACCTCCTCTATTCTTTTCTCAAATCTTTTTTTGTTTAAAAAAAATTCAAAAATCGACCTAAATCTAAGCTTGAACTCGCGGTTGTTACCTCCAAAAATTCTTCGTTGCTAAAAATGCTTCCATCTCCCACTGTGTCGTTCTCTTTCTCAAGGTCTTCCTCTCCTCCAAAAATTAAAGTTCAAAACACCTTAAATGTCCTAAACCAAAACTGTAAGAGATTTATTTTTGCTTTTTTCTTTTTGTGGGTGATTGTTTTTTATGATTTCCCTTATTGGGATGAGACTGAAATGTGAGACTTTTTCGTCTTTTTCTGGGTGGATATGATAGTGGAAGGTTTTTTGGAGTGTATTAATTGTGTGAGTTATTTTGGCAGTGAAGATATGCCGTGATGGTGGGTGGTAGACTGGTAGTGGTGCGGTGATGGGCTTTGGCGGTGGGTTAATAATGATGGTTCAGTAGTAAGGCTTTTGGTAGTTTGCGTAGCTACTAGTTACTTAATTTTCAAGGTAAAATAGTTATTTCGTATAACAAACATTTGTCAACTATAGAATTATTACAGGATTTTTTAATATTTTTTTATGTTCGATAATTATTTAAATTTTATAAAAAAATAAATTTTTGTAAATTTATTTTTTTATTTACAAAATTTAAAATTAAAATTTTACTTAAAAAAAATTAAAAATTTTAACACTCAAATCAATAAACATTGATATTATGGCATTTTTTTCATATAAAAATATAGATACGAGAGAATTAAACAACGGGATATGAACCATAAATATTTTGAGGTAGCTAACGTATCAAGAAATATTTAGAAAAAAGGAAATAAAAATTTGATAGTAATTGTTAAGGAGGATATTTTACCACTACTTTTTAATATTGTTTCTTAATACCAAAGTTACAAGAAAATAAAAAATTAGGTTAATTTAAGGAATAATTAAAATGATAATCTTATTTTGACTTTAAAAAGATGGGAGGGTATAAGATTTCTCCTTCTTCCTTTTTATTTATTTATTTATATTTTTAATTTTATTAATGGAAAAGGTATACAATAATAGTTTTTTTTTAAACAATAAAAAATTAATGAATTTCACTATTTTACTTAAAGAAATTCATAAATTTTTATTACATTTAAATAAATACTTAAATTTACTATTTAAATCCAAATAAATTATTAATTATTAATTTATATATAAATAAATTAACTCTGAATTAAAAGTTTTATTTGAAATAAAAAATTATTTCCATATAAATTAAAAAATAAAAATTTTTAAATATAATAAAAATATAAAAATTATTTTAAAAATAAAATAATCCCAAAATTTTTTTAATTAAAAAATAAAATAATTAAAACAGGAATCTCACTTCTTTTCCTATCGCTTACAGCCCAACCGCTGATGGTGATGTATACACGGGAAAAAAGTAAGAGGGAAAAATAAACCAAAGCTCGCGTTGCCGAGGCAGTGAAAGCAGTTAACACTTATCAGGAATTTGATTGGTCTCCTTTGACACGTTAATATTGAAACCACAACTTCAAATATGGATGCATTGAAAGGCTAATTCATGAGAGGAACTCTATCCGTCTCCACCACCACTATTTCAGATTCTGGCCGAACACAGCTTCTTCACCTGCGACTCCACGTGTACGTACGGTTCGGTTCAGACCGAAAAGTAGAAACCCGAATTGATTTAATTTGCACGTTGCTTTTTAATTAGGAGCCCAAAACAAGAAAAAAAGACAAGTTTTAATTAATAAATGAACACGTAAAATATTAAAATTTTTGTATTTATATTATATTTTATATAAAAATTATATATTATTATTTAAATCGATATAAAAATATAAAATATATTATTTTTATTTTTATTATATTTATATATAATTATTATTAAAAATTTTAAATCATATTATTTTTATATTATGTTTATATATGTCGTTTCATATTTTAAATTATTATACTAAATATATATACATATATCAACTCTTTAATCTTCCTCAAGTGTAATTTAAAATCCCATATGAAAAATGAACTCATTTATTTAATTTTTAAATTACAAAAATAATAATAATAATCTCTTCTTTCCAATTTCATTGCGTAGTTAGTAAAATAAAAAGTTTGCATGTGTTCCATGCTTGCATGTGCAACACCTGTTTGCGCGATAAAAAGATAAAAAAAAATGTTTGACTAAATTTGCTGGAAGTTATCTGGAAACTAGACAGTTTTTCTTGTATACTAGTTCAAGTTTATTTCTCAGTATTCAGTATAAATCTAAGCAAAATCCATTAACAACAAAACATCAGATCAGTACGCAACTCAAAAGTGAGCTTCTATCACGGATTAACAACATACATTGAAGCTCAACGATATAATATTCCAAGTGAAAACCCATGTTGTACGTATATGCTACAGTAATATTTCCAGCAGGAAAATTGCTCACCCAGTATTCAAGAAAAAGAAAAAAGAAAAAAGAAATGCACTTAGAATATACATGGGCCTCGGAGAGTGAGCACCTGATGAATGTGTTCATTCCATTACTCCATCTATGATATCATTTAGCAAAGTCTGTATCTTTGGATTGGTATTCAGGCAGAATTAGATGCATGAGACATGGGTGCATATAAATGCTTAAATTTTCAGCAGCTCCCTGCAAAATAATAATAATAATAATAATAATATGGCCCTTAAATTCATCAAGCTGTAAAAGCTCCCCGATAAAGCTGTTAAAGCGATTTTTGCATTTCTAAAATTCTTCCCAAATCTTAAAGCAAGCAACTAGACGGCCTGATTGACTGTAAAAAACTAATTTAAACTAAAGTTGATTTGCTATATATTTGACGAGTTCAGAAAATGAGAAGAAACTGAGATACCTCTATTCTGGTTCTGGTGGAAGAAGAGCAATTTCAATCTCTTGAAGTGATTTTCCTTTAGTTTCCAACACATTTTTCTTTACAAAAATTACTGCCAGAAAACAAAATGTGGCAAAAATTGTATTCAGGATTAATGGTCCTATCTGCTCCAGTAACCGCAAAAACAACAGACCAACGAAGAAATTTATCACCTGTTGCAAAGACCAAAGTCACAGGAGGTTCACAATGTTAAAGAAAAAGAAATCTGGAAAAAACAAAGAGAGAGAGAGAGAGAGAGAGAGAGAGAGAGAGAGAGAGAGAGAGAGAGATTGCCCGAGGGTCAAGTGCCTGTTCACCATCCATCTTAAGACCAAATGCATTTGAAATGATTGTGTGCACTTGTTTGCACATTTAAGGGTCAAAATTAAGAAAAGAGCCCAACACACATAAAAGCTTCTCTACTAGGAAAATATTAGGAGCTATACAATAGGAACTCTAGATCTAAAATAATGATTCACCATGTAACAATAATCTTTAATTTTCACAAAAAACAACCGTAAAAAAAAAAAAAGAAAACTGAACACGGATAGAGACCTTAACAATCCATTCAGGCAATTTAACTTGGTTCACTTGTAGAAAATAAGCAAAGAAATAAATCCCCTGTCCAGCAACAGGATGTTAAGAGGAGGAAGAGTTAAAAATGGTTACCCAATGGACAGCCATACAAATTGACATTGCCTTTGCCCTAATCCGACCTGGAAACATTTCTGACAGGAGGAGACCAGGGACGGGTCCAGCGCCAATAGCAAAGGTCAACACAAACCTGCATGTCACGTCATCAAGTTTGTGTTAAGAGAATGGCACACCACAAAATGAAGTTGCTAAATATAGAAGTATTCTTTGAATAGCCTTCCTAGAAGTCTGTTATAAGGTTAACATAAACACGGTCTATGGCAACCCACTGAATTAGACAAAATTAAATTCAGCAGGTTATACTATTCAATAGTCATGTATCCATCATCTCATAATGAATGAACAGGAAATTTTAAATATCCAAAGTGACACTATAAGCCTCAAGGTTTTAATAAGCTTATCTTCACTCCATAAAGAAACATTTTGATTTTCAAAGGATTTACAACTTACAACAGCATGCCTCCAACAGAGAGATACACTTCATTGCTGCTTGAGACTAAGGAACTAGCTGAAGTTGCCCGAAGACCCATTGCCACTACCTGAAACACAAAATCATAAAAGGAGATTGAATACATAAACAAATTGTTAAATACGTACCACAACATTAACAAAATCAGAAAATTGTTAGGTTCAAGTCTAACAGATAGAAAATGTGTACCAGAACATTAGCACAATCAACTATACAAATATCGTTTAGGAATCTCATACTCTAGCACTGCCCCTATATTTTCTGAATTTGTACTTCTTATCCTCTCATAATCAACGGCAACTGCAAACTGCATTAACCTAGCTTATGGTATGATTTAATCTTGCAGAAGAATCAGTAACCGCTCTTCTAATTGTCAGAAGGATACAGATTTTGAAGGTCCAACCAAGTACAGATAATTCTCTTTCTCTTATAAGATTCGACAATTAGATACCAAATTATAACACCATACACAGCTACAGAAACACATCATATTAGGAATTTGATATCATATGTATGCTGCTAGCACGCACCAAACAGTGAAACACCAGCAAAAACTTTTCTTCCTTACCATGCCTGAAAAACTTGCAATAAGAAGTACCTTCCTTCCCAGTTTATCCATCAAAAGCATTGCAACAAATGATCCTGAACACATATAAACAGCACAATTAAAGAAACAGTCCACCATGATTCACAAAGATACTTGGTAAAGTAGCCACTATACCTAACAAATTGGCAATTCCCACGCATATGTTTGCAGACTCTGAGGGTACACCAGCATTTTTAAAGACAGTCGACGAGAAATAGAAAACAGCATTTATACCAGAGAGCTGTTGTAAAGCAAAAAGGGTAGACCCAATGAAAACAACTGCAAATGGAGAAGTTAACAAGTAATCATTTAGAAAGAAAAGTAAAGATACTATGAGTTAAAAATCTTACTGAAAACTATTAGCAAGTTCACCTTTACGATGACGGCCATAAAGTAGCTCTGAGAACTTGACAGCATCTGCCTCATCCCCTCTCTCTGACTTTGACAATTCAGCCATTGCACCTTTGACATATGGTCCTCCCAAAAGTTTCTCAAACTCAGCTTCAGCATCAGCACCTCTTCCTCTCTGAAAATTTATAAAGCTTATAGGAGTCTACTAAGAAAAAGATACTTGAAGGTAAACAAAGAGAAAGGATATCAAACTACTGATATCCTTTTTTTTTTCTTTTTTGCTTAATAGATAAAGGAGAAATAAGCATGTATTGGAAAAAAAAAAGAGTGAGATTCACCCTTGCCTAGAAGAGATAATGTTAGGATATAGTGACGGTCAGAATAATGATCCACAACTTAGAAACGAACCTAGCTTTCCGGTTAATGTGTTATATTCTCCTGTGGTCCATCAAATTAAAATTTCAGCCTCAAAGGAGTTTGTTTAAAACAATACAATGTACTGGGCAGAGGCCAAGAACCCCTTGCCACTAAAAAAGTCAAATATAATATAATATAATGAGTATGTTGTCCTCTCTCAACACCTAGAGCTCTTACATTGTAGATGCTTCTAAGACCTTACTTAAATATCCAATTCATATCTAAATCCATGCACTGAAAATCGAATTTTTGTTCAGATAAATTTTTTAAAGATGCTCAACTGCACAAGAGCTTTATATTCAGATCCTTAAATCTAATTGCAATTGAAATCTTAGTATTTTAAGTGATAGTGCTAATGCATGATATATATAAAAAGTTAAATGTTTACAGTTTCAGAGACTATAACAATATAAAATGTGAACATAATTTGAACTTTCTTTTTCTGTTTGGAATTTTTAATAACATTTGCACCTTTCTTCCTGGATCTAAATTTTACCAGGAAAAGCAGAAACTTAACCGATGCTGTCCATGTGATGAGAAATGTAAAATTATTTTTACTGAATATGAAGGAAGTGTAAATGACCTTGAAAAGCCAATGGGGACTCTCTGCAGAATACTTCATAAAAAGAGCAAGTATAGCAGCAGGAACAGTAGATACCCAGAAACATATGCGCCACCTGCCGTATCATCAAGTTAAGAAATATGTTATCAGTCCTATGTGTCAGCAAAGCACGAACCTAAGTTGTTAAAACATGCTGTTCTGGTGACATCATTTTGAAAAAGAGAATGTGACACCAAGCACATCATCTTGTGGAGGCGATGGTGGTGCCGTCGTAAAATTTGCTTCAAATAACCATAAACAACAGAAAACAACCTTTTTGTTGATTATCATTTTCAAGACTAGTATTAATTCACTCATCATTTCTTACCAATCCTCGGTTTCCTTAGCAGGAAATCCAATAAATAGAGCACCCATCAATCCCAGGCATGTTGCAATTTGAGTGCAGCTTCCATATGTACCTCTTACATAAGCTGGAGAAACCTGTGCATGGATCAAATTACTTTTGTGATAAAGGAGGAAAGGAGATAAGAAGACCTTGCAATATCACAGAAAAATAATATATTAATCATCTTTTCGATACCTCTGTCACGTAAAGAGCTGCAACAGGTGGGCCAATACCCATTCCAGTCCCAACAAATAACCTCCCTAGAAGCATGCCCCATAGGTTTTTTGCTGTTGCACTGAAATAATATTTTGGAATTATGTAAGTATAAAGAATGAGGAACTTTACTAAGATTATCAATTTAACAGACTACAAGCATGGTGCGAAAGAGAACCTCTAACTTATTCTCTATAATTTAATTTGAGTTATGATAACTAAAAGAAAAAGGTAGGAGGGATTAAGTATCTCTCAACAAAATGGTTCAGAGAACCTAAAAGCAGATGATGGAAATTAAAAAGATAAATTTATCAGTTAAACTGAATTCTTGCCAAACAGAATTTTTGCCTAGTGAATGTTAGTATAAGCTAAAATCCAAAAAATGTTCTGAACAAACCCTCGAAGACATTATGATATAAAAGAATTTAAGCATAATGGATAGCCTATTCGAGATATATTAAAAAAAGGGTAGTAATTAAGGTAGATTAAATAATATTGTAATTACCTCATTGAAGACCCAATTATCATAGACAAAGCGCATAGCTGGAATACCTTGCGACGCCCAACCCCATCTGCAATCCAGCCACTGAACAGTGATCCGACAAAGGCACCCCCTAAACATGTACTCACAACCAGACCTTGATTTCAACAAAAGACAACATATTAGAGCAATTTCTCAAATAAGACAAGAACAATAAATTCATTGCTCTAGTACCTTCAGCCATGGTATTCCCATGAAAACCAAGGTCAAGTGAAATACTTTCTAGCGTTTCATTAACTACTCTGCATTAAAAATAGCAAGCATTAATAAAATACATTATCTCCAGAATTTCCAGAAATAACCAACCAAAAAAAAAAAATCCCAAAAGTGACACACCCAAGATGGTAACCAAATAAGAAGGAAGATATGGTTGCCACGAGTATATGAGGGAATGAACGCTTCCAAGAAGGGTTGCCAATGTCTTTGCCCACTCCATTCAGCAAACGTACTTAAAATCCCACAAAGAATTAGCAAACTGTCAGTACTTAGTACTATTGGAACTAATAAAGACAACTTTCATTCATAAAATGCTTATAACATATAATTTATGTGGAAAAAAGGACTTCAAGCCATTCCAAATTCAGAGCAAAATAAATGCAGATAAGTGTTGAGGTACTAAAACCATAACTTTCAAAAAGCATGACATAAAGCAAAAACAAAGCTTTCAACTTCATGCAACTTGCATTTTTTTAGAAGTTTGTAAATTGCTTCCTCATTACTATCCGTGTTGTTATCTTAATCACTAAAAAAGCAACTTGCAGCCCTCAAATTAAAAGAAAAATTAATAATCAAATACTTTTGCTTACATGTCAAATAAATAAATTCATGACAGAAACAAAATTAATCAAAAATTAACTTTTTCTTAAATACCCATTAAGGTAAAAAGAAAGAATGAAGAATACCGGAACCTTGTTCTTTGTCATAGGCACTGATGATATAGTCTCTGGTACCACGCTTGTACATGGTGTAAGCATCGACGTGTCGTCCCCTCATTGGTCCGTTATTATAAACACCCTCCCCAGAGCTATATACAAAACTTTCTGCTGTCAACTGCAAAGTAATAAATTCAAAGAGTAATTCGTCAAATTTATCCATCCGAGTTTATCATTTAATCGTGTAATAATGTGAGCCAAAGGACTAAAATGAGAGCTAAAAAGATTATAGATCAGAAATTAAAACATAGATTTAACTATAGATCTGATACAGTGTTTTAAAAAAATCGTTAGAAACTGAATAGTACGGCTGAAACAACAGAAACGAAATCAATGAAACATCGTCGTTTTTGAAGGATCAAGCAATAGAGAAGGAACAGATTAAAATGATAAATGATTAAGAAACAGAGGAGAGGAGGATTTGGCTGGAAAACGACATTGTTTTGGAAAGATCAAAAGGCTAAGAACTCACCATTTTGGGGTTCAGCATCGAAAGAAAGAAACAGATTCAAGAAGAAGAAGAAGAAAAATGGAAAGCAAACATTTTTGTTTAGTTCCAAAAAGAAAAAGTACGGAAATAAAAGATAGAGAAACATCGGTTTATATATTCGTGAAAGGAAGAAATAAATACCTGTGATTAGATATTAGAGCATTAGCTTTGAAAATGCTCGACAATGGCGATTTTTGAATTAATTAAAGATAAGAGCTTGAAAAATGAGGAAAAAAAAAGGAGAGAAAATATCAGAGACCGGAAACAGACAGGTGGCTAAAATGCGCCGAGAAGGAAGGTGACTGGGCGGTAGTTGCTAACATGCACTTTTTTTTTTGCGAAAAGTGTCAGCTGCTCAGCTTTTTGAACTGAAGACAAGGAAACCGTTTTTTTTGGAAGCTACCAGACGAACACCTGTGCGTACGGAGGGAGGGAGGATCTGGTTTGTTTTTTGCGAGATGTTTCCTTTTTCTAACTTGTTTGACACCTGGAAATTATATTATTATTATTAACGAATTGGACTTTTTTTTTTTTTTCAAAATAGTTTGTCTGTCTAAATCAAATTAAGCATGGAGTTGTTGGATGGGTGGAGGTATTAGGGAATTCTATTTTTTTCATCTCACGTGGACTTTTCAATTATGAATAATACTTTTAAAAGTTTTGAAAAATTTTAATTTATCATTTTATTTAAGATATATTTTGACAGATAATATTTTTATTTAGTATATAAAATTATGATCATGTAAAATAAGATAATATTATAACTATGATTAGATTAAATAATATAATTTTATTTTGTGTTTGATGTATGTAAAAATTAGGATAAAATAATTTATTTATTTATTTACCAAAATTATCTTTTTTAAAAGTTTATACAATTTAAATTATTGATATAATTTTTAAGATTATAATTGAATATATAAATATAATTTCATAGATTAAAAATAATTCGCTCAACTTGAAAATAATTGGATAATCTTATACCAATAAAAAATTAATCTGCTTTACAATCCTTATTTTTCTTTTTATATACAAATCAAATATGATATAAAATTATTATCATTTTATCTTATCAATAATCATATGTATCAAACATAACTTAAATTTACAACATAGGAGTTACTTTTTAATAGATAAAATTTTATCATTAAACATCTTAATTTGATTCAAAAATAAATTTTTTAAAGATATCCTTATATTTTTCCAAAAATATTTTTATTGTTAATTTTTGTAAATGAGGAGAAATCCACATGTAATTTTTATTTTTATTTTTTGAATTTTTGGATCAAAATTCAGTTCATAATTTATTTGAATCAAAATAATATTTTTAAATTTAATAATTTTCATTCAAGAGTTTTTAAAAAATAAGTTATATTACTACTATAAGTGAATCATTTTTTAAAAATATTCTTATATTTCAGAAAAAAATATAAGAATATTTTATAAAATATTTTAATTTTTAATAATTTTAACCAAATCAAATAAGAAAATAGAATTATAAAATTTGCAACGATTTGAAAATAAACCATAAATTTGATTCATCACTTTAAATAAAATATGATAAAGGTAAAGCTTATCTAAAAGAAAATTACTAAAACAAAATTACTTCACTATTGATAATTTTTTCTACTTTGTTTTTTAATCTATAATAATACAGATGGCGGAGGAGAGGGGTGGGGAAGAAAGAAATACGTGTGAAGGTTCTTCACTAAGACCTGATTCTGAAAACCATTTTGTTTTTTTTTTTTTTTTTTTGGGTTCTTCACCTTCCTTTTCCCCTTTTCTTTTGTTTTATTTTTGGGGTGACTTATGTTTCCCCATTCTGTTGTTAAGATGTAATCTGTCCAAGTATCATAATTACGGGGTAATGAATGTTTGGCGTGGAGATTTAAAGGCAATGAATGGGATATATACAACCCATTGCAGAAAGGAAGAAGGTGAAATGAAAACTCGCTCTTTTCACACCCCGTCTTGAATGAACATGATTGATGTGCTTGCAGGGTTATAGCCACACAAGGACTAGCCAGAAATTGACCTCTGATAAATTGTTTCTAATATTTCTGATCACATGGAATTGTAGACTTTGGCTATAAATAGATAAGATTTGAATTGGGAAACACATGTTTGATCAAGATGAAGCATGATAATGATACCAAAGATAAAGTAGCGAGGCATGCTTTGCATGGTATAACCCAGAAAAAGATGACAGAAAAATACCACAAAAAAAATCACTGCAAATTAAATCTAACCAACAAGGACTCGAGGAGTCCTATCACTTCGTTGTAGCTTGCGTTTTATGATTAGACACTCCCAAATGGACCCATTAGTCGAGGCAGACATGAAGGTAGAGTTGTGCATTTCTAGAGGTAAGCCCTCTCTTCACTTTTTTTATAGTTAGGAATTTGCTTTGAAAATCAACTTATATTAAAAAAAATAATAACAATTTTTGAATGCTACCCGTGCATCGTTTAGCATATGATCTGGAAACATTAAAAGTGGTTTACTAGGGACAAAGCCTGCCCTCTTGTATGATAGGAACGGGTACTCAATTGCCTTCTAATTAAATCCTTTCTATGTTTGCCATAATAAATATGAGCCCACAACCACAAAATACAGAAACAAATATTTTGACTAGCAAATGACCCTTTACCTCCAACAATGAAATTGGTTAGAATCTTCCATCCCCAATTTTTTTTAAAAAAAGTACATTTATAGCAAGGCTGGTTAGAAATATTAATATGAAGAAAGATTTCTGTGAAAGATGCCTAAGCCAGCATCATCCAACCATAATAAAAAAGTATCATTTTTTTTTCAGTCATAATTCAGAAAGAATGCATATGTCTAATACGCGGAAAAAGAAATAACATATACTCTTCATTTCAAAAATTAGGCAATAGAATAATTATTCAAGTTGACTAGGAAAATAGATGTCACATTAAGAGTTGTTCTATACAACACACTAGAATACATTTGAGTAAAACAAGGGCATGCTCCCCGAATTTCTCATGGACCAATCGCTTGCATAAAGCACAACCTTGAACTAGTGAGTATAAGAACAAAATTTTTGAATGACCATTGCATTTAACTAGATGTACTATAAGTATACCATGCACATCATGTCTCAGAATTACCACAAAAAAAAAGAAAAACAAAAACAAATGAAAAAAAGAATTCGCTTACGAGGTGTTACCCACTGAAGAACTCATTATTTGGATCTGTCAAACAAAGACAGCTTTTTTAGCATAGCATGTGGAATCAGCAAAATAAATAATACTTTTTATAATTATAATAAATATAATGTGCATATATAATATCATGAGATAAAGTGTTGAAAAAAAAAATACCTTATTCACAAGCAAGTTTACTTGCTCTCTGTACATTTCCTTCAAGTCTACAATATCAGCACGGAGTTCCTCCAGCTGGATTGTTGCAACCACTTATTGTAAGAACATAAGGGATAACAACATTATCATATCATATTGTCATTTTACTATTGAAAAACCAGAATGAGTCAGAAATACAGCAACTCAATGATACAAGATATTCTAAATACTATTGCTTCTGCACATTCATTTTCATTATAATATTTTGTTCAGCAAAGCTAATCTTGTCTCTGCTTAAATGATCTAGTGATACCTAGTGATACCATACATCACACATCCTCAAATATAAAATCTTGTTTGCCAGCAATGAGAAATAATCCAAAATAAAAAGGGGTGTACCTCCTCATCACGTTCACCCATTAGCTCCAGAGCAGCAGAGTGTCTGCGCCTCAAGGCTTCTAACTCTGCCCGGATTCCAGGCAGAGTGGCAGCCTCTGCCTTCAACTTTTCACACTGCAGCAAATGTAGACAAGGTTAAAGACAATGATTTGAGGAAAATATAGAATAGAATATTGATGAATAAAACCTCACTCACATTTAACTAGGCAGTAGATGGATACTCACCTGTGCAGTCATTTTGACTAACTCCTCAGCTAAAGAGTCACGGATAGACTCCATGGAAGTCTGAAGTGAACAACAAACAAAGCTAGTTGATATAGGCTATTTAAACAGTGAGCAAAATATAATCCACAACTCAAAATCAGGAAATATCTGGTATTGAAAACACAGTTTGAACATGTAGTGACACAAATATTTTGATTCAGGAGCTCAAAGAATAATTCATACCAAACGAGACATGTAGGATGCAAGTTCACCCTCCTTTTGACGAAGGGCAGATTCAAAAGCACTAGGTGTCATGCTCTTCATGTAGAATGGACTTAATGTTGCCTCTCCTATATTTCTCTTTTCAGAGACACCATCAGATGAGTCCAAAGATGCTTGCAGAAAATAGCTTTCCTCCATGCTTCCTATGCTGCTAGCAGTAGAGAGTTTCCGGGACAAGCTTCCTGCACCAAAGTCGCACAATAAGAAGTTCATAAAGATCAACTAAATCATAATATGAAGAACCATACCATTCTCCAAAGCTGAATTATGCCTTGCTATTGGAACTTGCTCGGATACAGCCGTAGAATGCATATGCGCTGTCCTTTCCAAGTCTAACCGGGCAGCTTTCTCCCTTTCTACTTCCTGTAACAAATCAAAAGCTTCTTTCTGTTCACCAAAGCAAAAGATCAAATCTAAGTACTAACACTTAAAATGGTTCCTATGTTCATATATGCATAATAAACTCTTAAGGAATGCCTCAAGTAACTTCAGCAGATAATTTAATTTGAGAGAAGTTCCCAAATATTAAACTATTTATGTAACTTTTATATCTGCAATCATGTGAAGAATACAAAATGTAAAGAATTCAAGAAAGCAACTCACTTGAAGAGAGTTTTCTTTGAAGCTACAGACACAAAAAGGGGTGATGACCCACTTGGTCATACACATGCAAAGATATTAACAGTAATTTTAACCTAACAATGAATCAAAAGAACAACCTGCTGTAGAAGTTCCTGCTGCACAAGAGCATCTTGTAACTCTTGCTTATGTTTCCGTCTTAGTTCCCTAATTTCTTCCTCAAGCTGGTTTGCCCGAACTTCTTGAGTATCAGCTTCCTCCTTTGCTGCAAGGTATTCCTGTCTATTCTCAGCGGCTCTCTGTCTCTCTTTCTCAAGGGACCTGCTTAGCTGTGTTTGTTCTGCTCTAAGACATGAAATCTGAAGCAAAGCAAAACAAAGGTTAAGCTGATATCTAGAAAAGTCTCCACAAATAAAACATACATCAGCCACAGAAGTAGAACCTGAGCTTCA